TCGCGAGATAGACGCAGACATCGTCGTGGCCTCAATTAGGTAACGCAGACTGCGTCGCGACCCTGATTAGGTCGCAAAGCCCCGCCTTCCAGCAGCCAATCTCCTTGAATCAAAGGATAGTTTTAAATGATTGGCAATTTCAATTTTATTACGGAGAGTGAGCTATCGTCGGAAAAATTTCCAAGCAGCTTTCAATAGAATTCTCAAAATTTTATTGCATGATTCATGTTCCAATTTGATCAACCTGCTTCAGTTGTTCCTGATCATCAAGCACTTCGTGGAACCCATCCATTTTCGTTTCAAAGAGATTTTCAAGGTTTTTCCTAAACTGGTGGATAAACCCAACACTTTACTGGACACCTTGAATTGGATAACAGGATACCTAGAGGAACGGATAATACCATAATTGCCAGTACAGTTTTCTCCGCGTATAATTTCCTTGGCCACATCTTCTAGGTTTCAGTAGTAAACTTGAACTTTGTCTTTTTCTGCAGCATCAACAAAGAATCAGAAAGAAGTTTGGTGGAAACTAATAACTTCTGGATTATTTTGCTCTTATAGAAAACAGTTACAGTTTTCAGGAGATTACAAGTGGTTTTTATTCTACCGGAAATGATTCAAGAAAAACGTGTCAAAATGGAATAGAACGTGATAATTATTTTTTCTTGACACGTGGCAAGGGAGGCTGTCCTCGTAGAATCTATGAAAAATTGTGTTTGAACTAAATAGTGTATTTCATGAGAGCCTCTTGAAAAAAAGGGTCCGGATGACGGGATAGTAGCTTATTTTCCCCAATTAAAATCTCTGACGTATGCTGACAAGGGAAGAATGTTCAGTCGAAGTGGCCTTTCTAGATGAGACCCGTACTACTTAGAAATAGATTGCAGATTCCAAATCTTCCTTCATTCTGCCAAGCGCCTCTAGACGCCGAGTTACAGGCGTCTTTAGGTGAATTTACTAAGGATCTCGGTGTTTTAGTCGAAAAGGAGCTCAAATTCACTCAGCATTATTATTCAATTTCGAAAAAAGCGCTTTTATGGTTACCATGACTCATCTCGTCCTCGACAATCTAGGGATGGTAACAGCATTCATAGTACCAACAAGCTCCTACTTTGCCTTCCCTTCACCTCAGATAAGAACCGCGGCGTTTCAACAATGCATTTTTTGAGCCCAGCAGCAAAATGTTGTTCTAGTTGACATCCCCAACGACAATATCAAAAAGCAGCTAATCCGAAATAGGCTGTACGACCGATACTGTACAACAGAGCAATCCATAGTATGCCCGCCCTTGACTGCAAAGCAATATATGTAGGAGAGACGGGTAAAGTTACTCGAGTAGTATTGGTCTTCCGGTATGTCCTCTACACTAACATTTTATTTGGTAGCGAGATTGTCAGAAGGTCGAAAACTAACAGAGTAGGAGGAAGCGCTTGGTGCATACTCTCGATACATAGAGCCATGTACTCTGGTAACCTTCACTTTAAATGCTATGAGGGGATACAACCTTCACCTGAAAAAAAACAGAAGTCATCCAGGGCTTCGCCTCGGATGTTATTATCCTAACTATATCGAAACGAATGTTGATGGAGCAAAGATAAGGAAATAATATCTTTAGTATCTCAGCGAAACCGAGGATTTGCGTTTTCATAGCCTTTTTTGCGTTGAAAAGAAGGTTTCTGTGGGATTTTCGCCAGAATTTAGGACAAAATTTCTCAGTTAACCTAATTTGACCAAAATCGTGTTTAGAAAATTTGGGAAAGATGTTGGAGCTAAATAAAAACGAGAAACTGCGCTTGATTCTTGCGCAGAGAATCGCGCACGAAAACGCTGGTCTATCTCGTTAATGAGTGACTTTCAAAACTTGGGACGTTGCCAGTTCTCCTTGACGTGTCATGACGATCAGAATGATATATGATTTGCAGGGTTTCGTTGAGACTCAGCAGAGATCTACGACGACCAAATGCCCCGTCGGCTCTGGTCTGTTTCCGCTGCTCGTCTGCGTCTCCGCGCGCTGCGCGCTACCTCGCTACCCCAAACGCGGGGCGCGGGCATTTGGCTCTGGTACCCCTTTCTTCGTTGTTTCAAAACCAATTTTAGCAAGCTATATATCAAATTGAAGCTCTTGATCTCTACATTCACCCTGACAACGTCCCATAATCACATTTTTTGATCTGATCGAGAAATCCGGCAAAAACCTTGTTTTCGAAAATCTCTTGTTTTTCTCCCAGTTTAACTCTTTTCACGCGGTTTTTTCGAGCATTCTATAGATCTTGCTTCTGTTCATAATGCAGACAACCACCCAGCCCTTACCTCTTCGATTATGGTGGAATTTTTGCAAAAAATCGTAAAAAGTGCGTTTTTCTTTACCTCGTTCTGTTTCAGTGCTTTCACATCGATTTTTTCCAGTTTGGGCCATTGTTGCTCAGAACAATAAGCGCAACAATCTAGACAACGTCCCAAAAACAGGAACGTCAATGCGGGGGTAAAAATTTAAAGGACGCATCTAAAATCGAAACCTCGTGTTGCGAATTGCTGGTCCTGGAGCGAAAACTTGCACTTTGAAAAGCCGCCAAATGAAAGAGCAAACCTCATTGCAGCGTTTTTATCCGGTTTTCAGCAGTTTCTTTTGCTTTTTTTATCTGTTTTACGTCATTTTCTCTTCTCTGGTCTTTTTTGAACAACCTTCACTATTTATGATGTCAGATGTTCAAACAACCTTCACTTTTGGCGCCCTGTCTCTAGACTATCGAAGGTATGGCTTGGTGGTCTGGAATTACGAATGACACTTAGAACCACTGTCTCTGAGGAAGACGAAAGGCGTCAAAATGCAAGGCCGTGATTGGATGAAATAAAGACCACTTCTCAAACCTGTACGGCACGAAAGAAATTCGAACTTACGACATATGCCAAGGTTTCATGAAAACGGGACTTGGAAGCTGCTTGAAAACATACCGCAGAAAGTGTTCCGTTTGGCAAGTGAAGCACTATCACTTCGACAAAAAGTGGTAGTGGCGCGCCAGTCCTTGAAATTCCTCCAAAGGTGCAAGAGATCGAACGTCGTTCCAAGTTTCATCAAGGACAAGAAGTTGGGATACACCTGTGGCTTCGACGAGAATAATTCCAAGATAACGAAAATATATCAGATCATTTTGAACGTATTGAAGAAAAGCAGAGGTCATTGTACAGTACCTTGTTTGAATATTGTGCGAAAGAACAGGCTTGTAAAGTTCTTTTGTCTTGTGAAAATTGGAGGAGGATCGAGGATGGTTCTAAGCTAATCTGTAGCTCGATTCGATCGAGGGTTGAATCCAAACTTCTTGCAAAGTTCGACCAGCTTTTCATTGAATGCCATAGAAAACGCTCGGATGCTAGAAGTGACAGAGGGAACCACTGCTCTATCATTTGTCTTGCAATGAAGAGCCGATGAAAGTCACAGTTATTGGTAACACTCACGTACATTCTGATGTTATAAAGCTTCTCAGCCTTGGTCCCACCTTCTCCCCTGAAAATGTCAACGCTATAATATGCCACAAAGTGTAGGCAGCCTGCACAAACTCAGAAACTCTCTCAGGATAAAAGAGCTATGCGAAGGTAACACACATGCTGCTCAAGAGCCAAATCGGTTACCGGCGATTCCATTTCGCCCATCTTTCTACAGACAGCCAGAGCCAGTATTGAACGTAAACATAAAGTTCCGTATCTTGTATTCTGGTATATTAGAAGTACTGACTAAGTCAAAACGACAATAACAGAACATTATGGCACCTGAAAAGGCGAGGTTTCAAAGAGATACGTGAGCTCAATTTGAATGGCTCCGTGCGTCTATCTGTAAGCGACAAAGGTGGAGAATTTGTCATAACGCCGCAAGAACTGGATCGGCGTATAACAGCAGCTGAGGCTGGTCAGATTTGCTAGGACTAACTAGTTGAGTCTGCTAGGACTCAGTGATATTTCCACTTAGTATGTCATATTCTCTAATATTTCCATCTTAGAAGTTTTTGGAAGTTCTTCCATTTTGTGATTGCATTTCGGTTTCTTGTTGTTTTTTGACTGGTTGATTTTACGCCCATGTTTCCGAGAACCTTCTGTTGTTTTTAATCCGTCTCCGCTGGGAATGGACGTTTAAGAAAATTAACGATTGGTAGTCCCACTACCTTAAGATCCTTCTCATTCGCTCGCCCACGGTCCCGACAAACTCGTTCATTCAGGGTTAAGTCGGTCATCGTTAAGCCCTGGTTCCATTATTCAAACCTGCGTTCGAGACGGGGACCAGGATTTCGGTCTAGAACGTCATACCGTTTGCAGATGGAGAACGTCCTGACCACCCAAAGAGACAACTTTGACTTGCTCTTACTTCACCGCGGGAACGTAATTGTCATGTTCAAAATGTCCTACTCTATATTCTTTTTCTCGGCGCCTACGAGTGCAGATTATGAATAAATAAATAAATAAACATCAATGGTGCCGAAAGAATTCCAGTCGATACACAAATGAAACGACTGCCACTTCGAGGTTGGTTACAAAGTGGTGAAAAGACTTTCTACGTCAATTAGGTAATTTCTAAAATATGCTAAGGGGGGGGGGGGTCGATGTCACATTTATACCACTACTCTTCTTTGTCATAAAAAACAAATTTCTAGGTAGGAACATAAATCAGTCAGTTGGATCAAGGATATGGAGTTACGTCTCATCAGATTTTCAAATTGAGTTTGTTTGAAAATTTTACGAACCTCAATGAACAGCTTTGATTTTCCTGATTACCCTTTGATTCAACTGGCTTGCCGAAAGGCGGGGCTTCGTGACCTAATTGAGGAAGGCGGGGCTTCGTGACCTAGGTAATACAGAAAGCACGCGCGCGGGAGCAACGCAGACTGCTTCGCGGGCGCGAGCTGCCTTATTATGTCACAAAGCCCCGCCTTTCGGCCGCCAAGCCAACTGAATTAAAAATTACATTTCTTGACACCGTTGTAACCAGGTAGCTCTCTAAATGAATGGAAATGCAAGAATTTTTTTTATCAGGTCTAGGCTTTACGGACAAGTGAATACCGCAAAATAAACACAAGCTCCTAGCTATAACCATAAATAGCAATAACCATAAAGAACACTAGAAGTGAATAAGTACAAAATGTACAACGGCGATGACGAGATCAATGAGCTCAAGTAACGGCGGTGCTGTAGCTTAACATGCACATACAAGTACTAACAAGTGACATTGAACGAAAGAAAAATCAATATATCGATTGGCTGGCTCATTCGATACGATTGTGTAGATGGCTGGTTGAGTCGTTCACGAGGCATTGAGCCTGAAATTAAAGAAAATGTTTGAGATACGCGGGTTGGTAAGCATTTACCTCAAAAAACGAGGCATTCAGATTTCTAATAGCGCAAAAAAATTCTATGAGTGCTCATGAGTGGCGCGTGCGTTGCGGCCGCAAGGCAGTCTAAGCCCCGCCCAGCAAGCTTTGCGGGACAAGACTGAAAAACAACTTCTTCAAGATTTTTCGCGTTAATAAGCTTATCTTTTTCTTTTATGAGGAAGCAGATAAAATTAAACTCACATTTCTTTTCTTGGCATCATGCCAATCCGCTAGGGCAGCTTTGTATTGGTCGGCTTTTTTGCACCATTCACGTTGACAAGACTTATAAGCCTGCACGGATCGTGGCTGTGTGCATTCTTCTGCAAAATTGCACGGAATATTGTGTATATTTCACTAATGGGGGGGGGGACATACCATGATCTACAACCAATCGATATTTTACAAGTTGTTTCCCATTTGCAGTGCATTCATAGTCGGCATTGTCTTCTTTCGACACATTCATCAGAATCAATCCACCATCGTTAGTGAACAGAATACGATTATTCGGGAGGATTCTGAAAAATGGGCGTGGCTTGTGTAGGGGGTATGGCTTTCCCACTATAGGGAGAGAAACAATGGAGCTTTCTTACTCGTTCCCGTCCCGCCTCCAGACACCATTGGGTGTTCCCTGGAAGTGTACGGTATCTCCCGGATAGGCCGACTGGGTACGTGGTTTGGCCGAAGCTGAGCATTCAGACGAGCCTCGTCCAGCCCAGGACGAGATCCACCTAAAAAGCATGTTCTTTTGAGAAAGTGACATTTCCTGTATGTAGAAGGGAGACCCTACCCCAAACTCTGCCCATGGGCTTTTTCCCGAGGGTAGCAGGTTGATCGGGCCACGTTCCAGCTACAGTATGGATCTATAGCGCATAGGGCACACGATGGGTAGTTTGAGCAACCAGCCAGAGTAAATTGGCTCACAGCCGAGCGTGAGGCGAAGTAAAGGAATTCTAAAAAAGTCACTTAGGCTCATGCCAATTTGGGACAGTCCCAAACCTCCTGGTAACAACGCCATCGCTTTGATTGGTCCTCCAGCTACAATATTTCTCCTTTCAAGTTCCGTCCATTTCCAAGTACTTCCCTCACGCCAGTGCGAAACTTTCCACAACGTACTGGTTCTAAATCAGCGGTGTATGGTAGATTACGGTACTGGCACCTGTGATGTCAGAGACGCAGACATTACCGCCCTGCTTCTCTGCGTTCTACACTTACCTTCCGTCCAACGCGAAAATCACATTTTGTTCACTTCTTACGTCGACCGCAATGTGAGTAAAGACCACGTCGCGAGTAGGTAAGATAGGTACTCCTCCTAAAATTATTGATTAGGTGAGAGACGCAGAGGAAAACATCTTATTGATTTTATTCAGCTACCAGGGATACTACTAACCTGACACGGGCTCAGCCATCATCAAATGCGATTTTGCAAAATGCAGATCAGAATCGGACAGTGTGTGAGAATTTGGAACGCACTAAAATGAAAACATAATTTTTGCCAATTGCACAGTTGTTGGATTAATTACCGTTCCAGGACGATGTTCAGGGACTGCATCGGCTGGTAGTGGCAACCATGTAGGGCTAGTAGGATCAAGGAAGAAACCATGATGGAAGAGCTAGAATACGATTTTTGACAAAAAAATGACTGGGACAGAAATTTGGGACAGACCGCCCACCTGATTGATATGTTTGAATGAGAACACACAAACTGCTGAAGTTACAAATGCTGTTTCTGAAGTGCTCATTGTCGCATAGAATAGGGTATCATCGGAAGTTTCGACTCTAGTTACGGCTTCTAGAATTTGTACCTTAAGTGGGAAAAGCTGTGGAGAAGGGACGGGGCTGTCACACACATGGTGATAGCCCCGCCCACTGCAAAGAAACGTGTGCAAAAACTTACGGATCCTGTCAAAATAATAGGGATATTGTGCTGATATTGAGCAATTCAAACGTGCTTTTAGGAAAGAGGTCCATACTTGGCGCAAGACAACCCGTCCACCAATATCTTTCTACAATTTACCCCATAATTCAGTATTATAAAATTCCTGATATGAACTTACCTTGCATACCCTAGCCACTCGACTATAGACATTTCGTTCCAAACCACCACTTTCTATGGCGATCTCTCGGAAGAAAAAGTACACATGCTCTCCAACGTCAAATGAGCCGACAAACTGGGGTTCTGCAAAAACAACTGGTTTTACTGCACCACTTTTCTTTGCTATTTCATCACTTGAAATTTTCCCGCTCAATATAGTACGATTTTTATCAGCATTAGGCCAGAGAACAACAAAGAAACTGCTTTATTTTCCTATTTTCTTCGGAAAATTTAGGGAAGTAAAATTGCCAAAGTGTCGCACTTTTACTCGAGTGATTCCTAAAATCTGCTAATTCAAAAAACAATCACAGGTTTCAATTTTTCACAGAAAAATTATAAGCGTATAACGAAGAGTAAGCAAAAACTATTTTAAGCAGAATAATTAGTTAAATTTAATTCAAATCATGTATATAACAAACGAACAAAACAAGAAAAGAAACAAAAAATACTCCAGTAAAATTTTTATCCAACCCAATACCTATCGTTAGGTTCCTTTGCTAAGAATGGAGATGTGGATGAAAAGGGGCAAAATTTATTTTTTGTAATCCCAGCAAGCTTTATAGAGAGAAACTGTATTTGAACCTAAGCAATATAAAATTTTTCGTGATCTAGGAATTCGTTAAAATCAAGGGGATGTACCACAGTATGGCTAGAGATTCCATAAATTATCTATTCGCCAAGGTCGATTTTACATCTCAAAAAGTTCAAAACAAAAGAGAAAAGAAAGGAAATACCAACAGCCCTCTTCCCAGTGCCGTTTCATTTATTCCACTTAATGTGAAGAAAGAATAGAAACTTAGCAGCTATCTCTGAACAGTTTCCCACTCCCTCCAACACCACCTCCTCCACCAACGGCTATCCCTCCTTTTTTACCCCCAAAATTCTATATTTGCTTTGCACGCTGCAAACGCTCTAAAGTGCAATATGTACATGTTCTCAAGAGCAGTATTCATAACTGCGCCCTCGAATTTGCTGCAATGGGAAATTGCACAATTTCCTGTTGAACAACCTTCCACGCGAGAAATGGGACATAACGTAATTTGTGTGGCAAGCTTAATTCGATCGCTGCATTCTATAGGCGTTCGTTAGAGCTGGGGAGAAGGGTAATCAATATTCGCCATTAGGAAGCAAAAGCTGTATATTTAAAAAGCAGAGATGGATGGAGGTAGAAATTGGAAGAAGATTTTGAGGCTGTTCTTTTCAAAAAAGGTCCCAATAATTTCGAAAGTAGCTGCGAATTTAAAAAATGTGCAGTTAATTAGTTTCTGTTGAATATAATTTACAGCTTTTAATTCAAATTAGCTTGCAGAATAATTTCGGAGTTCGGCTCCCTCCACGCCTCTTTTTCAAATTTCAGATCTATGAGTCGCCACTTCGGAAAGCATCCCAAATGATTTCCCGGAGTGCGTAACTGACATTCACCATTAATCCAAGAGAATTTTTATTTCCCCCCCCCTCCCCTTCTCGCCGCGAAAAAAAACCTCAGATCGCCAGTGGTATTTTTTTTTACCAAACAAGTTTGTAAGTAACACGTTCAAAGTCAGAAAAGCCTTTGTAAAACATCCAAATTTTTTTAGGAAATTGCGCCTAACTTCTCCCCCTACACATCCGAAAAATAATTTTGCACTCCCTTAGGGGGTGTGAGACGGCAAAATTATTTTTCGGATGTGTCCTCGAATTGCCACGGGTAGATGGGAATAAAAATATAAACTTTCAAATACGGTCCCCTTCCCTTCTTCTTTCCTTGAGATTAAGACTGTTGTGTAGTTTAAGCCGTATACCTACCGTATAGCCAACGATTATCCGTATAGACAGTCCTCATGCTCGAATACACCTCCTTCCCCTTCTCGATCAAAGCCGGCCTGTAGATTAAATGATTCTCTCCAGCCATTCCTGTCCTGATACCCGAATAAACGGATGGTAGCTCGCTTGGATTACCCCACTCTGAAATGATACCCGTTACCTTTATAACCCCAGAATTGCCTGATACTTACCAACTATCACAGCCGTAGCATTTACTGATGGATCAGGAGCACAGATTCCGATTTCCGTGCGCGGTTCCTGCCGATCCCGGAGGGTGACCGCGTCAAGCACACGAATTTCCGGACGCATACCGACAGATGAGCAAACCTATAACATAGGGATTCACTTTATCTCCAGAAAAATCAATAAATTGATTGTTTTTTGTTGAGATCGATATATCGATTGACGCACTGCTCTCGCCACGATCGATATATTGATTAAAATCATACGATAGCGTGCAATCACAGCAATTTTTCGGAAAATCGAAAACTTACATATAGACGTTCCTTATTATCCTGTAACGCCATGAATCTCGTCGAAGGTTGACAGTCTTCGGCCGAGTTTCCCAATGCCCGACATTCTGACAATTCGGCTGGTGGTACTGTAGCTCGCAAATCCACAAACTATAACCAGCAAATCAGTGCACGGAGCTCTTGATACCATGTGAAAATCAATAAATCGATATACCAAGTTTTCCGAGGTATCGTTTACATTGTAAGCCCATAATCGGAAAATTCGTCCTCGAGCACCAACAAATAAGGACGCGGAGTTGGCATCAAGCACAAGATTACGGTAATCGAGATCTCCTCGTGAGAAAAAATTGTCTAAATGTGAAAATTGAAACTATGCCATCGCGAATAAAATCATATTATAATACCACCATAAACAATACAAACATGTGAGAAAACATATAAACAAAAATTGAAAATTTTCGAAAATAAAAAATGAGAATGATTACTTAACTGCTACAACTTATTCTGGAACAGCTCAAAGTCAAATCTTTTCAAATAATGTAATAAAGGTGCAATTTTTTATTTTGTATACTTCACACTTACAAGTACATCTCGAACGCACATTACAAAACAGTCACTTAACTACTCCGAATTATTTTTTATTTTTTGGAATTTTTTACACTCGATGCACCAGTAAAGATGAGGAGATCAAATACAAACGATAATTTGAAACTAAACATGGTAGCAGCCTGTCCTGGCCTCAGTATCATGGTTATGTATTATTTATTGGGCATGAGTAAATCGCAAAAAGTCTTTTTAGTAAAAAATCAGTGAAATAATTGACAACTTGAGTAAAATAAGGAAATGACTCTTGATTTCGAATTTAGAATTCACAAACCGAAACTATGCAGCCAAGCAATGTTTATTCCCAAACTGATTCTCAATTTTGTGACTTAATGCATTTTTGAAACTCTACCCCCTCAATCCCACTCCCCCCCCCCGCCTTTCCTGACCGGTCCTCTCCTTCGTTCCTTGCCGGATCAAAAAAGGAACCGCCGAATATCTGGCTGTCATACATAAAGGTCATTTTAGACCTCAATCGTACGTCTACGCGCACACCAGAGGTATGACAAGGTCATGAGGAAATTGCTGGCGGTTATGACCACGGAAGTGCGGTGGAGTATCGGAGAAAAAACCCAAGCAAGCAAGGACATTTCCATGCGATACACTTGCAAGTGGAGAATTTTGCACTTTCCAGCAAGTTACCAAACAAGGACAGGCTTCTTTTACTCGTCAAACAAGAACTTTTGGCAGAGGAACATATGCAAACAGGGCGCGGGAAAAGCTGAAAATGGGAAAATTTCAAAACGAAGTCCCGTTTGATCTTGAAAATTTCGTACGAAATCCCCTTTCAACCCTCAAAACAAAAAAAGTCGACTAAAAACCTCGCAATTTTTGTGTCTTTTCGTCCACAAAAACGATATCCCCTTTGCTTTTTGTCCCAAAAACGATATCCAGCTTGGCCCAGTGCCAACTGTGCCGAACCCTCTATGCAAAATTCGGCATTGGAGAAAAACCTTCAGAATCTAATCCAAAATGGGGTGCGCTGACTACTTCAAAGCAAACAATGGATAAAATAGATGTCAATGGGACTATTGACTTAACAAGGAGCACTGTTGAATAGAACAATATTGTACGATGTGATGACAAACTGAACAAGGAATTGAAGGAACTGAAGAACCTGCTTACTCCATTTCATAGTCTTTCTACCTTCTGAAAAATTTTCTAATTGAGCCAACACGCCATGTGGACCAGCCATCTAATTTTCTGAGTAACTACATTCTAAAAAGCCAGCTACAGTTAAATGATATATTTGGTAGAGATTTGAGTTCCATAAGGCAAAGTAGCTTGTCCATTTAGGTAAATTTGCTCAATAGACGATTTAGAAAAGTGAACATTAAAATTCTGGTATTTATGCTGATCTCTAGCCTCTACTGTCAGTGTTATTTTCAGCCAATTCTTTTTCCACCGAAAAGAAGTTGGGAAAGCTGGGTTTCGACAAATTTTTGAACAGACTATTTTCCTAGCTAGAGTAGGTTGAGATAAAATTTCATGCAGGGCTCAGCACGAGGTGGCTCTCCGAAATTGCAAAAACGAAGTCCCCCTTGACTTTCTCAAAATTTCACGAATCCCCTTTGACCCTAAACCATAAACGTAAAAAATCCTCAAAACACGAAACGTCGACTAAAAAAGGTCGTATTTTTAGGCCACAAAAACGATATCTCCTTCGATTTTTGTCCCTAAAATGATATCCAGCTTGCTAATAAGCCACCTGTGCCAAGCCCTGAACTCATAATTAGTTTTTTTCTTGCATTGGTTAAGAGGTTAATTTTACATTTAGTATGGTTGACTGTTCGCAGTGGTTGGCCAGCATGGAACAACAAATCTTAGGTACGTTACTCATCTTCTATTATTTTCGTGTAATCTCCGTTGGATTTTGCAGATAACAAAAACAAAGCGGCTCGAATCTCACCCCCTTTCGACTTTGTACAAACGTGGAAGATAATAATAGAATGTGTTGGCGATGTGACACAATCAGGGCCCGGCACCGATGGTTTGGGGTCAAACTGGACTTCGTTTTTGGACTTAGAAGCAACGGGGATATCGTTTTTATGAGGTCCTGGAGGAAGCGCCAGAAAACACGACGAACATGTCAGGTTTCACGAGTTGAACGTGTTCCTTCGCAAGCGCGCGAATTTCAAATGCAAGACTCAAACAAACAAATGGCTTGTTTACAGCGCACAAACAATCACATGGCTCCGAAATTGGGCTATGTGTATACAATATTACTCCAAACTATGTTATGTAAAAATTTTTCAAAACTTATGTGTCCTAATATCCGTTCTCGAATTTGTTGGTTTCTAAACCAACTGCCAAACCAACTGGGTTGGTTCGGAGCATAAATATCGGAGAGTTCACATAAGTTTTGGACCTTTTTGATTTGGACGATTAGAACGGTCAAAAATCTATCATATAGTGAAGAGAGCGGATCAAACCGTTGCCTCTCCTTTTTTTTGAGTCAAAAGTGGTATAATTCTACGCGTTGATAGATATCGCGCTCCAATCACTTGCGGTGTCCTTTGAAATATGTGGCGAAAAATGCATCGCAGGATTGTTGTGGCTATAGATTTGGTTGGCCTAGGAGATTTTCGACATTCCCAGCATCAAAATGGTACTACACCCAATGGCAGAGCCTTTAATCGACTCGAAATGTTTTCTTTTGCTTTTTTGTTATATTACATACCTCAAAATGCGCTTTTTTCGCCTTTTTGTTGCTATTGTGGTTGAATAAGGGTTTCCCTGCTGATTTTCGCGTCGAGAGGGACTTCGTAAATTTTCGCGAAGTCACGGGGGACTTCGTTTCCTAAAAACCTCCAAACCAACGCGTGCCGGGCCCTGGACACAATACAGCGACAACAATGTTATTTTCGGTTGTAGTTCAAAAGCCTTTTGTGTTAGTTTAGAGACAAAACAAAATTTTACAAAGAATGTAGGGAGAAGCAACGGCGACATAGGATAATCCGTCCGAAATTTGCGAAACAAGAAAGTGCTGTAGGTTGCAAAATTTCCTGAGCAGTTTTTATGAAGATTTTTTTTGCGTATGCGAACTTTGTCAAGGAAAAATAAGTTTCCAGAGCGGTTTTTCGACCAGTATTTCTTCAGGGTAATACTGAACGCATGTTAATTAGCAAAAGGAAATTACACCAGAAATCCACTGATAAAAAATCTGTGCACAACAAAAATGATGTGTTCGTTATCCTATGCCATCTTAGAAAACGAGAACATGGAAAGAACAAAAAGGGTCTTTACTTCTCAATTACAAACCAACCGCGTTCGACTACAAGCTTAGGGTAGATGGAGCCAATTTTTTGAAAGAATTAAGGTGTATCGAATGAATAAATCAAATAGCGATTGGATAAGCAATTGAATACTCAATAAAATTTGATTTATAATTTTAATTGCATAAAACTGCGAACACTTGCATAACGGTATAACAATTAAAAGCAAAGAAAGATTCTTTTATGAGAAAGCGATACAAGAAGAGAGGAGAGGAAGGTTGGTAAAATCGAAATTTCTCTCGAATTTTGTAAACATAATATTCTAAAATAAAAACAAAAAGTAAAACATATAAAAAATAAAGTAAACGGAACAAATAAATAAATAAAAACAACTTCTTAAAAACCAAGATAAATGAAGTACGGCTTCAGCTTTATATTACTGCAATGGTGAAAGAACAAAGTTTAATAGTGAGGGTAAGGGAAAAGAGGTAAATGGATAGATAAACGGGTAAATAATTGGATAATTGAGTGGAATGAAAAGGCAGAACAAAGAAATGATAAATCAAAACAATCTTACAGTCCAAAATTATCAGAAAAAAAGCAAATAGCTTTTGAGAGCATTAAATTAAAAAATGAAAAAAATTAGAAAGATCTTCAATTTGTCCATTTTGCCACCGAGAATTCAATTTAATATCAATTTGCAATAATAATTTGACTCAACGATTCACAATAAAGGAATTAAATAACACAGATGTTATAGAAAAGAATAAATTTGCTTGCTTACCTGGACGTCGATCAATGCTGCACCAACATAGCTGACTAAGCCAGTGAATCAACAACGTCTTTAACAGACGCATTTTGATCTACTTCGATCTACAGTACCCGTAACCAATAGACGCTGACGTGAATTACAGTAATCCAGACTTCCTCAAAATGTAGAAATAGCCAGGAAATGATTAGTAGTCGTAATGTTCAGCGCTGGGCCTTCGAATGCTGGTAAGACGAGGGGAGGGGAGGGGTACCACAAACGCAGCCGAATGGACAATAGAGGCGGGCTATGGCGGTCGCCTCGTCGTCGGAGCCTGGATGGCCCCCACCACCCCGTCCTCTCTGGACGTATTGATTCGTCGACGAGGCTAGCGGGGGGGGGGGGGGGCTAAACCGCCGAAAAAACCACACGCATGGACATTTGGATGCAAGGCGGTAATGACCGCAAGGTCCAGCTGTGGTGGCACATATGGACGCGGGGGCGGGGCTTCTGTTGAAAACTTTGAATTAGCCTTTTTTACTGCGTAATGAAAACTTTTGTTATTCTTCTCAGGATAAGTTAAAAGCAATCATATCTAGCAATCGATAAAATCGATAACGAATCGTGTTGATTTTTGAACAGTTCAATTCATGACTTTAGATCACTAGTCAGTGTAGTTTGGTCCGAAAATATCATAGACCGAAAGAAGTCTTTTACAGCAATCAATAAAATCAGTAACAAGCATTACACCAGAACTTTGAACTGTCAAAAATCAATTAATGACTTTTTTCTGGCTTCTATTTATTGCTCTCAGTCATTATTGCTTAAAGCCACTATACACGACAAAGGAATCCATCTTCATTAATCAATACAATCAATAGCTATCCATATCCATTATTGCAACATTGAAGTAGGCTTATAATTATTGTAATCAGTACAGCTCTGCACCAAAAACATCATAAACGCCGGAAAACATATGTGCAACAATCAATAAAATCAATAAGTACGCATGTTGGTCATTTAAGCTTCAAACATCGTTTTTTCTTGAGTAATTGAATCTTTGGCTAAAATTACTATAGTAAGTCGCTTTTGGCCTAAAAATATCATAAGCCCCAAAGCACTCATATGCAGAAAATAAAATCATTAACAATAAGGTTAATTCACTGTAAATTGTCGTTTTGTGTCGCTTTGAGTCCAAAACGCACAAAAAGCATCATTTCAGCAATCGATGAAATAATAACAACGCATTTCGAATCCTGCCTTGAAATTGCAAATTTTTCCACAAATTTTATGGATTTTTTATGTAAATTTACTGTTCCAAAAAATAGACCAATTTATTCGATTCCTTTCCCTTTAATTGTCCCCCCCCCCCCCCCCCAAGAATGGGTCCCGAAATTTTTTGAAGGTACTTAAATGTGTAATAAAAGTGTGCGGAGGACTTATTTTTACTCGTAAATAATTTAAAAAAATCTTTGCTTTTAAAAAATTCAAATCAACGTTGTTAAAAAATCTCTTGGCTGCCGTCACGCCCCCCCCCCTTTTCTGAAATTCTGGGGTCAGGGGCCCGGAAGAATTTTAGGAAGTATTCCAAAAAAATTTTTTGGAGTGCGTGATTGACGCCACGCACCTTCATCAAAAAAACATTTTGTCCCGCCTCTCCCCTCCCCCCCCCCCCGAACGGATATCTTGAATACGCCACTGCATCCTACTCGGCGAAAAATTTTGAGAGCTGAGTACATTTGATGTATTGATTATCCATGAACAAAATGCTAAGCTACAAACGATGCATGCTTAATCGGATTATCCTCTTGTAATTCTATTGACGAAGGCGTCTGAGTGCGAGCGGGCCTAGAAAAGAGAGAAAGGGAGGGGAGAGGGGGGGAGAGAGAGAAAGATGAAAGGGAGATCACAGCATATTCATCTTTCAATAAAATTTGATTTGGGAAATAGCAAATTTAGCATAAAAATTCACTGCAAAAGTCAGCCCTCCCCCTTCCTTCGTGGAAAATTCCGCCCCCTTTGTAAACAATTAAGCCTGTAAATCAATCCCGCCCTGAGTCCGTAAGACCACACACACAAACATCCCTCAAACTCTGTGCTTAATCATTCTATCATTGACCTAAGAAAGAAAAACCGAAAAAAAAACAGGAAAATTTGCGAAAACTGGTCCCCTGGACATTTTTGCACGTCATCACAATATCGGCATTCAGCAGCTTCCAATACCTTCCCATAACAACTTCCTCCTCTGATTTTGTGACCTTTTCTCATAGTATTCCTTCTCCGTCACTTAGGGACCTTTTCTCGCAATATTCACTCGGAAACCTTGTCCAAGCTAGTCCTAGTATCACGCTACTTTGGAGGGCTATAAGTCCTAATAAGCCATTGCCCGATCAGTAGCTCACTTTTTTTATTCTTAGCCAAGATATCCAACACTGTACTCAAACCCATACCATAATCTTTCCGAGCAAGCCAATGGGACACGGTAGGTTGGTCTAGCCGAAAAATAGAGTTGAATTTCTGGACTCAAGTGATTAATATGAGCTCTTTGCTGAGCGGTGGCTTGATTGCTGCCAACCAGTCACTTTCGCACAAAAGAAACCAGGGTAATCAAATTTAAAAATACCAGGTACCCAAGATTCCATAATTTACCGCGAAGTATGGATCCCAATTATCAATAACATACGCTATATATATTTATCTGAATAAGCCATGCAACAATAAATAACCATGGCGTAAACAAAGCCGATATCTTCTGCAAGCAAGAATGGAAATCACAGCAAAGAAAATCAATAAATCAATAAGTACAATTCCTTAACGCTTCGAGATTGAGATGAAGCGATTGATAAGGATCTTCTAAAGGGTCTAGTACCTAGAAAATGTGAAAGTTTCACCTTACCGAAAAGCGAAAAGACAGAAAAAGTACTAAATCGCAATATAACATGTACTCGGCACTATACTTTGGAAGAATGGAGGCATTACTGTAAGAGTAATTAACGCTTGAGACACGTAATCATATCGCAAAAAAGGCAAAAGTAAAAAGCTCCTGGAATTAGGGCATCGAAATTTCAAGAAAGAATAATGTAAGCACTGATAAGCAGCCTGTAGCTTTATATTTGGAGTTTTTCAACAAATTTGAATTGACCCTCAATTTGACCAAATAAATTTACTACGTTTAGCACCCGTGTGAGTACAGAAGCTAGTTTTCGTAAGGAATTTCTGAGAAGAATGACTTCAACGGGATCCAAGCAGGGTATCCAAAGCTTTGACGCGATCTCCTTGGCTTTTCAAAAGAGCCGGGAACACTTGCTCAGCAGTGAATCCCATACCAATCAGCTGCTCGGCTGTGTGCGCACGTTGGATGACAGCCTGAACAAGAAACTTAGTGATAAAAATTCCGGATTTCCTTCACCAAAAAAGACAAAAAAGCCAAGGAAAGTGTTTCCCACAATAAACTGCACCATTTAGAACAATAACTACAACATCTTGAGAAAAACAGCAAATAAATTAGTACGATTCAAAATTCTAACCAAAAATTCTACAGGTAATACTACAGGTGATACTGAAGCTGAACAATTTTTTCTCTTTTTTCATGAACAGAGCATAAAAGTCATTCAGGACATAAAACGGCAATAATCTTGATAAAAACAAGTCGATAAGCTGTAGCAGCTATTTATATAAAAATGGCGTCAGCAAATTTATAGAAGGTTTCACTCATACAAAATCACTTCTCAAAAAATGTGATTTGCAATGTTTGCCAATCGTTCAAGCTCATTTTCTTTCTACTGTTTGAGCTAGTCAGAAACATTAGCGAGTGTACTTTTCTACTTATGGTGTTGATTCGCCTTCAACAGTACTTCTTGCGGACTGCTAGCACAACTGAAAATGCACGGACTCCGTTCCAGAAGACATAAAGGATCGCAATTCAACATTGCGTTTTATTACCCATACTTAGCCTAACCCAAACGGTCATAAAATTACGACAAAATGGCAGTGTGCGGAACCTGTCCTTAACTATGCTCGGAACATTTTCATTATAAAATTCTAGATTTTCTGCTAGTTTGAATAGACGATAGCTGCAAGCAAGCATACTGGATTTTCTGCTAGTTTAGATGGACGATAGCTGCAAGCAAGCATACTTACCACTGCGGTTGTGCATTAGGTCATTCGCTGGATTGAAAACGTTGTAGAAAGGCAGAAATAAGGACATACTAAGCTGCCAGCCTTTTTTTTTAGATATTTGGATAACATCATGGCGTATTTGAAGGAAGATTTAACCTATGCAACGCATATGACTGGCAAAAGCTATCGTTCATGTTGTCTGCTGCCCCCCCCCCTTGCTACTCCAATAAGAAAATGGGCACTCAGTTTCGTTTGCATCAATCTGACAGAAAAAAATACTCATAGAATTAGCATTCAAGTCTCCGTTTTCCCATACCTTATCTTGGCTGCTAATTGCAATCAATTAACAGCCACTCGGCACACCTGTTAAGGTTAATCGAAACGATATGCGTTGTGACCTAGGGTCATTGCGCTGATATGTCATGAGCACACACAAGCAATGTCTTAGGCGTGTCATCTGCACACAGCAGCACAATGTTTGGAGATTAGTGGATACGTCAAACTGAAGGAAGACAAAGAAAAATGAGGGGACGTAAAGGCAGACATAAGGTGAACAGAACAGAACTTGTTCTTGTAATAAAAAAAATTGCAAAACATCGCGAAAGACACAAAAAAGAGGAACGCCTTGAAGCCCAGATCAACACAAATGAAAAAGAATACAGAAACCTCGAAAACATATCAGACATCCGAATTCACCTGTTTATCCGTCAAACTGCTATCCAGCAGGAATTTTACCGTCATTGCCACATCGACACCTTTCTTTTCCAGGATACTCATGCCTTTCATATAATATTCGATCTGAAAAGAAAAACGTGAGGCAGAACAATGCAGAGGAAAAGAGGACTTCACTTTTTTGTTCTCTAGAGCTCAGGTAAGGCTAAAACAGGTCTTTACCCAATAAAGCTCAAACTAACGACAACAAAAAATTTAGACATTTTTTATGCATTGAATAACAAATTCTGATAAATCGCTTTATCATGGGCGAGTACTTACTTCCTTGTTACTGATACTAGCAAAAAAGTGAAAGCTTATAGGATTGTTTCTGAAAACATCCTATTTGCGAGCTTTTCGGTGAGATTATGGATATCATAGAGAAATTTATTCAGCATTGGCTCGCTTTGCCATTTATTAGTGCAAAGTTAAGGAAGCACAACGCTAAAGCAGTGTCTGACACTTTCGGAGTTCATTTGATTGAGCTACAAATCTTCGCGTAACTTCATTACTGAAGCAATTTGATATTCAGAAACAAGAAAAGCTTCTGAGTCAGCTCTACAGTACATGGTAAAAAGAAAGGAGGATGAAGCAAGCATTCATAAATTGTAGATAGCCTTACATGTGGAAGCCGTTCCCTGGGTAGTCGTTCCATCGCTACGCTCACTAGGTTTTCTCGATAGCCTTTGGTGAGAAGACGAACTCGCAAAGGTGAGTCATGGCGAGTTGACGTAGAATGTGTAACATGGTTAACAGGAGGTGGCACTGCAAATGGAAATCAATAACAATTAATAATGAGGCGAATACGAAGAGAAAAGTCACCGGAATTTACTGGTTTACTGAAAACAGCTCTGCCAATGGCACCCGTTGCACTGAGAGTGACAGCTGGCTCTTCAGATCGCGAACGCGAGAACCAAAATGTGAGTATTAAGCCTCAACGCAGGAAGGAAGAAGAACGAGGAAAATTGCTTACTCCAAAATCCAAAACCGGATAGGGTGGTATAGACGAAAGCGTAGCCGATTTGCCTCCATTTGTCAAAGAATGCAGAGGTTTCAAACTTGCCTCGGTGACGACAGGAAGAGAACTCACCGATGAAGTTGATTCTGGACGAGAGTTCAGACTTACATTGCCCAGAATCTTAAATGAAACTAATTTAGGCCTAATATCACAACAAAATCTTGGAACTCACTTGACTCAAGGCCTCTTTGTCATCGATGGTGCTCCACTCCAGCTCATCAAACACTGTACCACGATTTTCGAATTCTTGGAAATTCACATCTTTCATTGCAGATTGTTGTGGTTTCGGTTGAGATGCGGTAGCTGGAGGGGGTGCACATGGTTGGAGAACTTCCTAGAAGGAAAATATCGTTCATCGCACTATTGAAATATGCTAGGAGTGAATCAAATGAGGTATCGTGAAATCAAAAAATCTCAGAGAATCACCCAAGTGAACAGCTGATGGCTCAAAGTTGTTTGGAAGTTGAACGGGATTATTTAAACCGTCTGATATGGAAGACAAACCTCATCTTACAAAGAAAACATCTATCTAACAATTATCGTTTCACTCGAATTTCTATCAAAAGCACTATAAGAGCATGATAAGATGTCGTTATAAGCGTAGAGTCGGAGGTAAGAGAAAAGTTTTACAGCTACAAGATGATTGTCGTTACCAAAGCACAAGTAAAACCGACAAACTTACATTGGTCAATGACGTAGAGGAAGAAGTTTGAGAATTTGTAGTAACAACACCATTCACATGAGTTCGAGGCGGAGGATCTGGCTTGGCTTCTGGAGGAGCATTCGCTTCGTCATATTGCTGACGAGCGCGTTTCTCAGCAAGAAAAGCATACTATAAGCAAGCTGTGATTAGAATTATAATAGGGCTGAGCTACAAGAGCAAAGCTTGAAAAAATGGCTTGCAAAATGCATCAGCCAGCTCTACATGAGCATGTTTATCATTGGGGAGGGGAAGGGAGAGGATAGTATCTTCAAAGCATCCCCATATCAAAACTTATAGTCTGATCTACTTAATTTGCATTTAGTATGCAAGTTTGCAAGAGAGGTTTATCGTAATTTAATAAGTTAGTGAAAATTCTCTCCCATCTAGTCAAGATCCCGGGACAAAATGCCAGACCAAAATTCACAGGTCTCTCAAAGACAAGCACAAACGATGGAAGGTTTACTTTTCTATTTGGTAAGCTTCCAATGATATTTCAGTCCAGGTTTTGGCGACTAAATGATCGGAACACTTCTTCAAAGATAATTCATTCTCTGATTGAGAGACGCTCAACAAGTTTATGAATGAGTTTTAACGAGTTTTGGTTAATTACTATCAAAAATTCGCAAAAGAACGCGTTCAAACCAGTTGAATTAACGAGCTCAAACATGTCTTCCACGAATTCTGATAATAAATCAACCAAAACACATTGAAACTCATTCATGAACTTGTTGATGAAATGTACGCAAAGCGTGCTTGCCTCCCCTAGTCAGAAAATGAACAGATATCTTTGAAATGTAAAACTATAGTGATAAAACAGCCAGAAAATTGATTATTTTCTCATGTCTTTTCTGATACTGTGAACGACACTAAAAAAAATCAGTTATCTAACCTGAACGTCTTTGAGTGGTTGAGGTAGGGGTAATGTTGGCAAGTTTATAGCAGGTGGTGGATAAAACCTTCGTCCAATCTCCATAGGAAGATCTTTAAGGTAATCTGAAAGCATTTTTTGACAGCGTCACCATAATGTCAAAACTGTACATCAATCAAATAACAACATGAATAGATTAATTTTCGATATCATTGATGCACCACATAATTCGTACAAAAAATCTTGTAAGCTTGAAAACTGTGCGAAAATCCTCGAATAATGGAAGTAACTAGTACCACTTGAAGAGCGACGTAAATATCAAGTAGGTAAACAAACGTTATTGACACATATAACACAAGAACTTACCTTGATATGTGTTCGAATAACTCATTCCACATCACCGACTGCTGCAAGATGAGAAACCGAAAGCATGTGTGATAATCGAGTTTGTTTCGGCAAACCGAGCGGAAACGACGCAAAACCTGAATGACTCAGTTCGGACTTATTTCGACACAGACCTTAAAACTGACGAATTACCTGAAGGAAATTCGTCAGCCGTGCAAAAACTAGGAAGTGAAAATGCGTGAAGTTGCTGGAATGTATCGATAAGTATGAGAGCCGAGCTTTTACTGGTTTGAACACGTGAAAAGTTCAGGAAAACAAAAAATCAGAAAATGTCTAGACGGATTGATTATAGGATGTTAGGAATGAAAAAGATTTGGTCCCAAGGTGAAAGAGGATCTAGGCACGAACTCGTCCATAGCCGCGCCGTCTCGTTGCTTTACTTTTTTTTCTTTTTTTTTGCAAAAAAATAGTTGGAGGGGGAAACTCTCTGCACTGTGGCGTAATTCTGCTGGAATTGAAAATCCGTCGACTTCCACCCAGCTGTCAAAAAAGTGTGCAAATAAAGGAGCAGACTAATGAACTTTTCTTTTTTTCTCAGCCGTTTTTCCAGACTTTTGACATGTAAAAACGAGAGAATTCACTGAAATCGTTGGTTTACACAAAACTGTCGAGGAATGGCTGCGTGACAGCAAAAATGGGCGTGGCCCCCATAGTGCATGCCATTGACATTTATCGATTTTTCCCACCCTCCCCCATTTTCATAAAGTGCTCTGCTCTTCATCCTATCACGTGACTTTTATCCTGTTTTTGTCAAACTTGTTTACACAGTCTCGATTCATACTTGTTCATTTCTCTTCGGTACATCTTTCATCAACGTGAAGGTTTTTCCACATTTACGTATTGTTTTTCTTTTGCTTTTCTTTCTCTTTGTTCACCTGCTCGTCTGTTGTTGACGATAATCATATTTATTTAGAGTGCGAGATGAAGTATTTGGAAAATTCCACGTTAGAGACGTTGTCGTCGAATTTGAGTATAGGAGCTATCGACTGCATATTGGATGTGAAGTAAGTAGTTTTTCTAGGTTTTAGAACTTTCCTTTTTCTCTCAAACTTTCTGGTTTTGTTTGAGTTAATAACACAGTTCTCAGAATTACAAATCCTGCAAAAATTTTGTGTTAGTGATGGAATGTAGGTTTTTGACTAACAATAAGTACTTGCTAATATGCTCCTTTCTTAAGACGCTGGAGTATCTTTTATTTCAATTTGGATCAAATCATATTGATAGCATGTATCCGGCGTATCTCCATCCAGCATTTGAGATTTCCCGTTCATCATCTATCTCTTAAAATCACTAATGATCTTCATCTACATAATTTAATCGTCCGAAACTCTCATAAGACTCATAGGCGACATACGATGCAAAAATCAAAGGAATTGAATCACTTCTTGCCTTCTAACTTAACTTCTTCAGATCCATTACATTTCCTTTGATCGTGAACACATTCATATCGTAACACATGTTCTTGTGATGTTTTTGGCTTATGTGATGTATTTCGTCTCGCAGAGTCTACTTTTGCTAAAACTATATATGAGGAAGTGTTTAGAATGTTTTTTTGGCTAACGTTTCTGCTTGATCATAGGTTCTTGGGTAGAGGTGATTTGGCAAATGGTAGCTGAGAAAAAATCCCAGTCTACTGCTACTTTGTTTTGAGAACTTGTTTACATGGTGATACCGTTCATGATTACGATGTTGTCTGTGGGCAAAGAGTTTTCATCACGAACTAGCGACCCTACATCTTTAATGGTAAATCTTTCAAAATTGAAAGTATTGGCTTTATCGACTAATCTTTATATTCTATTTTGAGACAATTCATGATCTTTATCTACGTATCCTACGTTTTTAGCTTCTGTACGATCTTGAAATTGAACATTTTCCATGATAAGCATTCCATTTGAATCCCGGAATCAAATCTTGGAGGCACATGTCATTTGGAATCTTTCTGCAATTTCATTGTACTATCTGTACTGTAGCACTATCGTCTTTGTCAGTTTGGCAGTCTTCTTGCATTTGCAGCACCCAAGCGATCTATGAATCTGGTGTATTTTCATCGCTTTGCACTAAGTTTTCAACGCTCTGTACTTGATAAAGACAGTGCACTTTCGGCCCTGTCCATGACGAATGCTCCGCTTTCCAGATTTTTACACAATTAAGATCTAATCTTCACAAAGTGCTTTTGCACGATGTCTGCGAAATAACGGTTTATAACGTGTTCTTTTAGGCTTGAGTCCTATTCATGTAAAATGGTACAAAGTGACAAAAAGCAATGGAAAGCATATGGAGGATCGAATGAGTCGAATAATGCCAACAGTAGACAGGTAACTCATCACTCAGTATCTTTTTGTTTGCATTTACAAAAGAAAAAAATTTGAATGCTTTGTTGCAGTTCCATCAAATTTCTCTAACATAAACAAGTAATTCAAGCAATTATGTAGAAGTTTGACGAATTTTTGTAGCTTGCTGCTATGATTATTTTTTAGAAATTTTCGTGGTTATTCCAATTATTTGTTACGTTTTCTTTCTTGGAAAATATTTCCTTCAGCATGTACAAGTAATTTATCAATTATGCATAAGTTACGGCAATTTTTTGTCGCTAAATACTGTAATTATCGTGCTGACAGTCTGGGATTCCGTTTTTTCTCGTTTTCGAAAAGTAGTACTTTCTAATAACCTACACACATCTATAGTTCGATCAGTCATCATACTGGAACGATCTTAACAAGAAAAACGTTATCAATCACTATCTGTTTAGCCGCTCTCTCCACCTGACGACTTTTTATGCATATCGCCGTCACCGATTGGGCACTCTGCCAGAATGCGTCATCTTTCCGAGGCACACTCCGGTTCCGAAACTGATGCTGATGATGTAAGTTTTTCGTTTGTGCTTTTGTTTACTTTAGTAGCTTTAATGTTTTTATTGTGGAAGGTTAGTCACGTTGCTACAACAGTCATAAAACAGACACAATTCACGCTTGCCATTTTGTCATTCTGTCATGTGGTTTTGTAGCTGGTTTAATCAGCTTATTGATCAGAGCCCTTTTTGAGCAACGCATTTGTGATTTTTATTTTTGCTTAATCACTCTAATATAATAACAAAGAAAGTCTATAGTCAAAGTGACCTTTCCAGAAAATTTCTTCACTGTGAAGAGTGATGAAGCTGATTCCAAATCTGTCTTTGGTATCTTTGTGCACTTTTGGACGCTGAGTTATGAGCGGTTTTTTGGGTTTAGAGAATGAAGGCTTTGCCGGGAGAATCACTGATCGCTCAAATGTGCTGGTAATGCTCAATATGAGCGCTGAAATAACAGCAGCAATTGATTTTGCCTAGATTTTCCTTTCATTTTCCATTTCCCCCTAAAGAATTTTATAACACAGCTCCCGGAAGCACACAGCAAACATCCAAGACAGATTTGAAACGGCGTCCCACGCTCTTGGACAGGTATGGGACTTATTTTGGAAGGCCGCTCAAAAAAACACTTTTTGTACATATTTTCAAAATCACTTACGATACATTTTCTACCCATAACCGTTCTTTTACGTATTTGACGGTTATTTTGAATACCATCATTCGTGTTTTGCTATTGAGTCTATTGTAGAATTTCGAGCTGTTGCACTTCCGATACTGCTAGCTGCAGTTTCCCGTGAATGTTTATTTAGGAGCCAACGCTAGATTAGAACAACTTCAGAGAACACTTTTCAGACAAAAGCACATTTTTCAAGTGACTGTGTTACCGTATGTGCATAAGCAACAGCTGAAATAAGTGCGTTCAATTGAACTAGAGTGCTTGTGTGCATTTGCACACATGACCAGATGTGGACTATCTAGATCTCAGTTTCGTATACTTACCTTATTGATTGGTATTTCAGTTTGTTTTGCTGGACTCCATATCGAAGCGGACGCTTTTCGATCTCATCGGTGCTTTGAATATAGCCTATCCTGACTACGATTTTAGTGATGTGAAGAGCAGTTGCTTCTCGTTGATACCTGGTATTGAGGTGAGTTGCATTGGTTAGCAGCTTTATTATGTATCTGGTTATTTTTTATTAGTATATCGACTTGCTTTCCGCTTTTTCCTTTTTGGTAGTCCCATTTTGCATAGTCGTCTACATTGCCGTCACCTAGGTTGCGCTATTTATTGAATCTGCAGTGGCACGCCAATTCATGGCGGATAATCATTTACACCATTTTCGTGTTGCTGAAGCGTAGCGCAATCACATAGAGTGGCTGCCGAAACGAGGCTATTGTATCTGAGGGTGCCATCTTCTTTTGACCTTTTTCTAATATCACTTGCGCGAGTTGGCCGTATTTATTAACACGTTGACGACAACGTGATTCCTAGTTGTCTGCTTTGTGGGACAGTGCCTTTCACCAATAAGTCGAATAACTCTAGCTAAAATCACGCAGATCGTTCACTTATACTATACCTACACAAATTCCGAAAAGCAGACAAGAAACGTCAAAGTATCTTCTAGGGTCAGAGCGTAAAAAACCTCATGAAACGAAGGTACCCAATAATTATAATCATTCTAACAAAATGTAGGCCGTGACCCATCATTTGGATCACATTGTCCCACGTGACAGCCATTGCATGACCGACCTGTGGGTCACGTTGTCGTCCCAGCTTCAGAGAGTGTCTTGAAATAGAATTTTTGACATCAAGCTTTGTCTGGTATCTGCAAATTTGAACAAACCCTGTTTGTTGTTAATGCAGGTATACACTTTGAAGGTATATTCAACTCTAAAGTTCGTTGATGAGTATGGCCACAATAAACACGTAGTTACTTAGGTATGCTAGATGGTAAGCTACGGTAATTGTTCTAGGAAGTGAAATGCCATTGCTCAGATAATTGCACCACCATTATACACGATTGGATTATTCTTCATCCAGCAATTTGTATGATACATGTCTAGGTTGTCATGGAAGCGGTGGACAGCAAGTTCTTTGCAACGGTGAACAATTACACAAGAATACGCGAGGAATTATGGCATGCAATTGAGGATGAAATTGAGCCGAAGGATTGTCGGATATACAGGTACTTTGGGTTTGATCTTTTTTTTTGAATTTTGATATGAAGAGACGGGAGAAATTTGCATAAGATATAGATTATGAAGATGCATATGACTATTATGGTTGGAGACTCATCACGGGTTCTTGTGTATCTTCGAGGTTTTCCGTCTAGATTCTACTATAGGGGCAGTGCGCAAAAGTCCAGCATAGCTCTGTTTTTGAAAAGTGAATGGAGATTTAGAGACTGCTCTTTAGCTGAATCGGGATTAGCTTTTCTGGGCGAGAACCTTGCTAATGGAAGAGTAGAAAGAAAGGGGTAAGGGGTTTCAGTTGCAGGAAGCTCATAATTGAGCCAGACTTTCCCATTGTTCTCTTCTTGTATTCTCTGAATGATGCCCACCAAAAGTTGAACCTATTTTTCCTTTCCTGGTATTTAGAAGCGCAAAAAATCTTCGAGAATCACTTTTTTCGAAGAAAATTTGTCCTTTTTCCAGCTTCAAGCCCAATTACAAGGACGACCCGTTTTCGGAAGATGGATGTCTTTGGTGTCTCAACTTCTTTTTCCACAACAAAGGTCTCAAACGATTGATGTTGCTCTCATGTCGAGCGCTATCTCAAAATGGAGCTGTTCCCGGTGAAGACCCACTTTGGGACCTAGATGATTAGAGTCTGTGTCACTGTGAGTGAATAAGGCAACTTGAACATTTCCACTGCACCACATACTTAAGCACTTATCTCTTCCGGTTTTGCATGCGTTTCATATAGAACCTCATACATAACCTCGATTTGCTAGTGTTTTGCATAATATAAATATGCAAACAGAATGAATGTTGAACATTCTAGAGATTTTTTGTATTGAAGGTCACTCTTAGCCATAGTCTTGCACATTTTTGCATGCCCATTATACTCTGTATTCCTTTTGATCCCCTTGTAATCTTCAAGTTACTCGTTCTTTTTTCCATGAATCGCTTATGTCGGTAGTTAGGCTTTATATTTTTTTTTCTGTGCTGGAGCATTTAAAGGTCAGACCAATTCGCATTATGTATACAAAATTGTACAAATTGTAGATTTTCATTAGTCACACTGCCGTGTTAGCTAGAAGCTGATAGATTGCTGTAATTATTGTGTGATGAATGGTTTCTGATTTTTGTGCTTACGAAGTGAAGCAGCGGTTTTCGCATCCGAATAATGTTGCATGTTTGTTGTGCGTAATATTGGTCAATTGTCACCCCTATCCATACCATCTAAAAACTTCTGCGAAAAGCTGCTTTTTCCTTAATTCAGTTTTGTTTATAGCAAATAACCAATGATGCGGGAGATAGGTTTTGTTCTTGACCGTTATAGGTCGTAAGACAAATCTTGAACAATACGCTTTGGAAGTACTCTGCTTGATTTTTGTCGATCGTCTAGAGCAGTTTGCGAAGAACTTTGGTTTTTGCGCGGGGTCCTGTAGTTGCTAATGTTTTGCGCGGGGGGGGGGGGGGGAATTGAGAACCTCAACTCTTGTATGGGGAATGATTGGGATCTTTTGAGTAAGCCACTGTTCAAGCGACAAGTCATACGATTCATTCGTGGTCGGGAATTTAGCTGTAAACTCTCGACCAGTACCGTACTCAAGGGCGCCGAATACGGTGCTGGGCGAGAGTTCGCAGATGGGTTTCTTGACTAAGAATGCGTTATATGACTTGTCGACTGGGTAGGGGTACAAGACTTGCTGGATAATGCCTTTGAGTCGACAGTCTTGAAGATCTTGTACTAAAAATGTTGTGAGCCTCATTTAACAGTGTCATAAGTTGATTCTTAGGCGTCATCAATGTTATGATTCCTACTGACCGCAAAGATCGAAGACCAGAATCAATATCAGACGACGTTGCAGACCTACATCTAGCAAAACGTCCACGACACTCAGAAGAATTCGAAGCTGTCATGAATTACGATGGATTAGCCGAGCAGATGTCGGAAGGTGTCACCACTGGTGACTGTGGTTATCGTTACCTTGAACATCCAGCCGATGTCCAAGTGCACGCGTGGGGTCCGGATTTTGCGAAAGCACTGGCACAAGCTGTTACCGCCATATATGGCTATATGACGGAGTTGGACAGAGTTGAAGAGCAGTTCACTATGTACTACACAGCTCAAGCTAACGATCTGTATGGTCTGGTACATGCTGTCATGGAAGAGGCGCTGTGTGGATTCCAGTCCGAGCCGTTCTTTGTTGGGCGGAGAGTGGTCATGGACAAATTGGACTTGAAAAATTTCACAGCTGAATTTCAAGTAGGCGGAGAGTGTTTTGACCTTCATAAACATCCTCAGCTTACAGATGTGAAAGCTATAACTTATTCGAACATGCAGGTACATCAAACTGCTGAGCGATGTGATATTTATGTGATTCTTGACATCTAAACTTCGGTGTTCTTTCATTCTCTATTTTGTACACTGTTATATTCCCTGATTTTTCATGGCCTTATCGTTAGCAGTCACGCCCAGATGATTGCTTTTACCTTTCGAACATGATTTCTATCTCTATAGATGAGACAGCGCATGCAGAGATAGTCGCAGTTGCGTCTGATTAGGAGAGTAATTTTTTTGAAGAGGCAGCAGACGGAAGAGAGGTGAGCGTACGCTTCATTTGAGTCTGCACTGGCGCCCTGTCTCTGCGTGCGGTGAATCGCTTGTGATCTGTCTTGGCCTTACCGTTGAGCAGCTACATCTAGATAGTTATTATCAGCACTGAAGTCTTTTACTTCTCTGTCACATTTTGATAATTGGATGGGCGCAAAAAGTTTCTTCTAAACATGTTTTGCTGCACCGCATTTTTGTTCGGGAAACTGACAAGGGAAGAAATATTAGTCGAAGTGACCTTTCTGTATGGGTTGTATACTGACTTGAAGAGTACAAATGCTGGTTCCGAGTATACCTTTGTTATATGCTGCTGATGAGCAAGGAATTCGAAGGGTTTGTGGGCAAAAAATGCATGTTCAGTGTAAAATCAATCGTTGGCTTTTTCTAGCGTTCCAAGTGGCAGAGTTAAGTGGATACCTAACATTATTTGTTGCACAGAATAACCCGAAAATCATTTGAGACGTAGGAAAATTACGACTCATTTCATCCTAGCTGCATGTTCAAATTTTTGCCCATAAAAACCTTCGTAACTCCTCGCCTAGGAACCCGCAGCAGATAAGGAAGGTAGATTCGGAATCACCTTTTTATACTTTTCAAGGCAGTATCTAGTATAAAAAGGCCACTTCGAACTTTCCTTTCCGTGTGAGTGCAAATGCAAGTTTGGGAATTTTTGCAGTTTCAAAATTTATCGAAATGATTTTATGACACGCCGTGATTTTCGAATCTGATAATCTATGCAGCAGAAGGATCATTTGACGTTTGTAATATCCTTTCACTATAACTTCTTTAGCATTTCCGCTCAATATTGAGTAGCGCAATATAAGCCGTTCTTGTTTTCTTTGTTTTCCTGAATCAGCTTCTCTCATATTGAAGTTTTCTTTGTTGTAATTAATTGGTCACAAATACCTCTGTTCGTTATGATTCGTCTGCATCAAAAGGTGTATAGATTATATATGACAAAATAAATGTTTTAGATGGGTGTCGACGTTCAAAAGAAGGTCTTGAAGAGGAAACTCGAGAAGATGAAGGCCACTCAGGTAAATTGTGTCCGTTTTCATTTCTTTTCTTTCGACTTTTAGCTTGTCTTTGATACTTTTTTTAATTTGATTTCTTTATATTCTTTCGTCTCTATTTATTCTTTGATAGATACCTTTTCCAGACTTGCGTTTTTGTCTGTTTGAATGATATCTTGAATTTGAACGTACAGCTTTGGAAAGTTGCTAAACTTACCTCTTGTTAGCTCTAAATCTTTCCCTTTTCTCCGCATGGCTAGTTGAGGCCGATGTCTGTCGTTTCCTAGTCTTACTGTTTCATTTCTCAAACTCTAATTCTGACTTTTTCTGTATTATGTTTTGATCAACAAAGCTTCAGGCCAAAATGAGGAAGAAAGAATTAGCAGCTCGAGCGGCAAAAGAAGAAAATGAGATCAAAGAGGAAGTTGAAAATGAGGAAGATGAGCATGATAATGGCGATGTCAAAAATGAACAGGTATGCAGTGTGTTTTTTTTTTCATTTTTGGTTATTTTCGTCAACGATCAATGGTTCCAGAATGGAAAACCTGCGGAGTCCCATCCTACTCCTGTCATAGAAGATGTGTCTTCTTATCTTTCTGCAAAGACTTTTGAAGGATTGAGAGGCAAAGTAAACGATAGAATACTAGACGCTGTCAAAAAGATGGGCTTTACTTCGATGACCGAAGTTCAAGCGAAAAGCATTGAGCCACTGCTTGAGGTAAGCTCATTGAATCGCGGTCGTCCTCTCGTATCATTTCGTTTTGCAGGGTCGTGACATCCTGGCATCAGCCAAAACTGGCTCTGGAAAGACGTTAGCGTTTCTAATCCCAGCCATTGAACTTTTGTTGAAGCTAGATTGGAAGCAATACAATGGAACAGGTGTCATTATCGTGTCACCGACGAGAGAGTTATCGATGCAAACGTATGGCGTGCTTACGGAGCTCTTAGAAGGTGGGCATGATTTTTTTTGGATTTTTCATAGCTCAAATTGTTTTTGATGAAACTGGTAACATATTTTGACCCTTGGTTCAGAAGAAAGCGTAAGTAGACCGATTTTCAAAGTCATCGGGGAAATTATTTCAAATCATTTTTGTCGTAAATAGTTGAGCGCATGCATTATGTGTTGTTTTTGATTTTAATTTCTTTGTTCCTGGATTGAGGAATGACCCTTTTTTAGGGACTTCTCTCACGCACGGTTTGGTAATGGGTGGATCGAATCGAAGTGCTGAAGCGGATAAGCTGGCAAAGGTATGTGAAGTTAAAACATACTCTTACATTCCGATTTGCTGTTTTTTTTTGCCGCTGGAGACTCTATATGAGTCAGCGTAAACCTTCCATAAACTGATGCTTTTCTATATTTGATGACCCATGATTTTAGGGAATATCTGTTGTTGTTGCTACTCCTGGTCGTTTGCTAGATCATCTCCAGAATACGGATCCGTTCGTTATCAAGAATCTCAAATGTCTTGTTATTGATGAAGCTGATAGAATATTGGATATTGGGTTTGAAATTGAAATGCAACAGGTATGAAATGTTGTGTTGCTCGGGGTTAAGACATATGCAAGTGAGTGTTTTAGATTCTCCGTCATCTGCCGAAAAAGCGACAAACAATGCTGTTTTCGGCTACCCATACACCAAAGGTAAGGGCGGTTCCTTATAATTCAGCCTTTTTTTTTGGAATATGTAAGCACTCTTTTCTGAATTTGTGATTGGTCGGTCATATTTCTAGGTGGATGAGCTTGTGAAGCTTTCGTTACATTCCAATCCAGTAAAATTGTCTGTCGCAGAGAAAGATGAGGTTGCTACGGTAGAAGGATTGCAACAGGTTAGTTATATCCTTTTGAGAATGCATTTTTGGTACATTATGGCTTTTTGGGAGTTTGTATGAAAGTATTGTTTAGGGTTATGTTGTATGTCCGTCTGAAAAGCGGTTTTTGATGTTGTTCACGTTTTTAAAGAAGAACAAAAATAAGAAGGTAATCCTCCGGCTTCTTTTTACATTTCGAAAGTTGCTTGCTTCGCTTTTTCATCGTTTCTTATCTCTGTTTTAGGTTATGGTATTTTTCTCATCATGTAATTCCGTAAAATATCATCATGAATTGCTTAACTATATAGATATCCCGTGTATGTCTATACATGTAAGTTTTGCTCATCCAACCTTGGGACTTTTAGGTCGTATGCCTCTATTTAGGGAAAACAAAAACAAGCGAAGCGGACGTCAACCTTTTTCCAATTTTGCCAAGCAGAAACAGGCATTTTATTATGTACTGATGTGGCAGCTAGGTAATCTTGATTCTCACATTGTGTCTGGTTTCAACCATATCTCGTATTTTTTCCTTTTCTAGAGGTCTTGATATTCCCGCAGTAGATTGGATTGTACAATATGACCCACCAGACGAACCAAGAGAGTACATCCATCGAGTGGGACGAACTGCTAGAGGAAAGGATGGACGGTAGGACTTTTTTGCAGTTATTTTTGAGATTTTTGTTCATCATTTAAAGCATATTATCTGAGAAAGTGAAGCGCATATAATCAGTTATTTATAGTGGAAACGCACTGCTAGTACTTCGGCCAGAAGAGCTTGGATTTTTGCGGTACTTACGAGCTGCAAAAGTTGTCCTCAATGAATTTGAGTTCTCTTGGTCAAAGGTATGCTTTGAACTTTTAACATTTGATATTCGCCATTCATTTTTCTCCCAAATGCATTGCCTATTGTTTTACAGATCGCCAATATTCAATCCCAACTTGAAAATCTCATAGACAAGAACTATTACCTCAATAAATCAGCTAAAGAAGCGTACAAATGTTATGTCAGAGCATATGACTCACATTCACTGAAGGTACGATTAGAAACGATGAATGTATTAGCGAAGTGAAAGTTGATTTGTAAGTTTTAGGATATCTTTGATGTGAACAATTTGGACTTAGTGGCGGTATGCAAATCATTTGGTTTTTCTGTGCCGCCATTCGTGGATCTGCCTATATCACACAAGCCGAAGGTATGTTTACTTTAATCTACTAATTTTGTTATTGTAAAAAAATTGTTTTGGGAACACATATGTGTTTGGGCTGGTAGTCCTGACGGTAAATATAGTGTTCTTGCAGTGCCGACATTTGCCAACAGCATCTGCGCGTGAACAAATTGCCTGCAAGCGCAACACATGGAAATGTTGGCTCTGCGGCCATTTGCGCTCGCATATTGCCGGCATTGCAGGCGTAGCAAGTTACACATGCGCAAATGTTGTCGGCACCGCAGAAGCATTATACTTACCGTTAGATCCACTAGCCTACACGTTTTTTGTAAAGGCTTGCTCTACATCAATTCATAGTTATATGGCGCACGAAATAGACTTTGGTTTAGGTGCAAATAAGATCACAGTTGTCGGGAGCTGGATATCGAAAAAGGCCGAAAGCGTTTACGTTCAAACAAAAACCGAAACATTGAGCATGATTGGTCCGTCTACTTCCACTGTTGTGCTGTTCCGGGCTAATGTTGTTTGGTCTAGACCGTTGTTATCCTTTGTTTGGCTGTTCATTGTTGAAAATCATATCCTTCAGAAACCTCATCATGAAACATTTTGTTGAGTTGTGATATCTGATTGAATCAGTTGTCTGTCATCAGAATAAATAGTTTATGATTATGACTCACTGACAGTATGGCAAATAGCCAAATCGCGCTGCGTTTGGACGTTTGCGTATGATTTTGTGTATTAATTGCGAGGTAGAAAAAAATAGAAAAAAAATAGCAGCACTCGAATCACACGTTGCGTATATTCGCGAGGTAAAATAGCGTGCTTCACCATGTGTAGCACGAGGGAACTGGAGTACAGTTCTGTCAACCAGAAGCTTCTGTACCTCAAACGAAAGCAGGGTGAGGGTTTTTGGATATGGCGTTATACAAAATGCTGTGATAATATAGGAAAGCGATATAACCTTGGTGATGCATCATGTGAAGCACAATAGGAATTTTGTTTCATCACTACGATGTGGTAGCAGTGGGTGTTTTCTTTTGTAAGTGGCATTTTGAAAGTGGTAGAATTAGTGGGATTTTTTTATTTTTCGAAAAATTTCGGATAATTTTTCATTCCGTGAGGTGACCGTTGTATTCCGAAAAACCACATCAGTGCTGGCCTTTTTTTCTGACTCACTAGGTCGTTAACATGGTTACGCGTTTTCGAAACGAATACGTCATCATTGTTTGATAAGAAGGCTCTCGTTCAGCATAAATAAACAGTGAAGCCACGTTCTATCGCTGATCTCTCGGCAAGCGCTTGCTCTGACATTTTGACATTCAGTATGTCTTTCCAAGGAAATCCGGTAAGTTACCCTTTTTGACGATTTAAAAATCTATCAAAAAGCTTTTGTTTTAGTACGGCGGTTACCAACCCTATGGTAATGGTGCCCCACATGTTACCCCAGTTTACCATCAACCACCTGTTCATGTTCCACCGGTGAGTTACTGTTACAGTATGCTGCCTATACAGTATTACACTATGTACACAGTGATTCAGAATGACATGTCAAACACGTTTCATTCGGTTTTGCGTTTTACGGACTTCTGCAACTACCGTAATTCTTCTCATTCTAGGTGGTCGTCGTAGATAATCATCACCATGGGCATCACCACCATCACCACCATCACAGCCTTCTACATGAATTGATACATCCACACCATCATCACCATCATCACCACGACCATCATGGTCATCACCATCATCATTGCTAATCGATTATTGATTTACTGACTGTTGATACTGATCAATATGTAACGATGATGTTTTATGTGTGGTAGAAGTTAAATAAATGTTGCTTGTAATTTTCGGGTGAAGGTGCCTGAGTCAAAAAATCAAGATTTATGTTTCAAGTGGGCGTGGTTAGGGCAGTGCCAATGATATGTTTCTTCAATATTGTTTTTCTGCCATAGTTTAGAAACAGCCAATTTATAGCATTGCTGGATAGAAATGATTATATCTAAAATCCTCTTTATCGATTCTGAAAATTCTTTTTGGGTGTTCACAATTTACATGCAGGTGGACTTGGGTGCCTGGCCCTCTTGTGATTAGTGGAGGGGAAGAGATCTTGACTGAGCCATTTTTGAGGCGGCGGCTCATTTGATTTATTCGTAGCCGGGTGATTTGATTCTGAGTGATTCTCGCCCAGTACCGTACACGGGAACGCTGATTGGCCGACATGAAAAGAATACGGCACTGAAAGACACTCCTTCTAGGAGGACCAATCAGCTTCCTCGACTCGGCACTGGACAAGCGTTTACAGCGTTTGTCAGCACCATCATGATCTCTACTGAAATTTTACGTTGTATGAAATATGACATAGTTGAGTCTCTGCCATTTTCCACATAAGAAGCTAAAATAATCAGATTTCTCTCAAAGAAGGAAAGCAACAAAAGCTTGCTCATTACCGTACTTGGCGTCTGGTGGGCTCTGAAGGAGTATGGTACTGGGCGAGAGCTGAAATTTCTTGGCCATGAATAGATTACATGAGCAGTGGCTTGGTCAGGTCTTTTCAATCTCCCATAAAAAAAAGTCTAGCTATAGGAAAACATCAAAGGCTGACCCATGAGAAAGCTGACTGATCGGCGTGGAGAGAGTACGGTACTGGGCGAATATCAAAATCAAAAATCATTTTCTTGCCCAACGAATTCTATTAGCTGCTGCTGAATGATGTTTTGACTGAGGCACTCCAACCAATTTCCATATAAGAAACTTACAAGCAGACACTCACATTCACATTGGGAAGGAACATTTTCATATTTTTCAGCCGGGATCAAACGATTACGGTAATGGGCGAGTGTTATATCTGCGAGAATAACTACTAAGGCTTGTATAAGAAGAGTGGTCAAAATTCTTTACTTACAAATAAGTGATTTCCAGTCAAAAATCGATAAATCGATCACATTCGTAATGTGAGCAAACCAAGAGCAATGCTACAACCAATTACATGACCAAATGCAGGTTGGAGATGAACAGCTAGAGCGAATTGTGACGACGACGAAGTTGTCGCATGAAGACCGCAGCGCAGCACAGCGGCGACGCAGTCCTGAAAGGGAAGGTATAAGTATCGATCGGTATTGATTGTATGAGAGCCATATACCTGTACGCTTTTATAGGGCATCGAGAATGCAGTTACGGTAACCGTATATGAATCTCGTAAACGGGCAAGACGTGTGTCTAGTGAGACATTCTCGTCCTGGAGGATTTCTCGGAAAAGCCTGAAGAAAAGGTTGTGATTACCTGACCACTTACCCAGAGAAATAAGCAAGACTTACCTGGATGCCATAAGATTCCACTGCGGTATACCGTACTTCCTGGCCTCGTCGAACCGTACTTTGATCTCGCGTTCGATTGAAGAGCGCAATTCGATGAGCGCATCTTCCGAAACCTAAGCAAATAAATTAGGATTGGCTCTCGAATCAATAGTTTATGTACCTCAGCATAATTCACAACTGGAGCCTGTATTGACTGAACTTCATCCAACTCTCGGTCAAATAACGGTTTCCAATCGCTTGTTCTCTGTAACAGGACGACTCTTGGCAATTTTTTGAAGTCTATCGGGAAGCTTACGGTAAAAAAAGTATCTGTTGAGAGGATTCACTTGTAAATTTATACGTGAGACTGCACACTACTCGCGGGACTTCACAACTACCAAGTAACAATGGCAGTCCGGCATTTTTTTCGAGGATAAGGGTGACGAAATTTTTTTGGAATTAAGGGGCATGGCGAAAACCAGGCTTTGGAGAAAATTTCTGGATACCTTTCAATTATTTTGCAGGCCTACAACCCCAAAAATTACAGGAAAAAGGGCATGACGGAGAAAAGCCTCCAAAAAATGTGTACTTAATTAATTCAAATTTTGAGATATTTTTCTCTAGGTCAACTGAAATGAATGGGGATCGGGTTTTTGTATCTGCTCCATGAAGATGAACACTAGCGATAGGCGTAACCTTTGATTCGATTGGTTTGGCACTGGAAGGCGGGGCTTTGTGACCTAATTAAGGCCGCTCGCGCCCGCGACGCAGTCTCTGCGTTTCTCTCCATGCGCGTGCTTTCTTGTAACTATATAGCCTTGAAGGCAGCGTCCAGGCAGATTCTCGACTTCTATATTTTTATGTTAGGTTAATTCGGTGTAAGTTGCCGTTTTGTGCAGTCGCTTTGGGTCCAAAAACACAAAAAGCATCATTTCAGTAATCGATGAAATCAATAACAACGCATTTCGAATATTGCTTTGAAATTACAAATTTTCCACAATTTCTATGGATTTTTTATGTAAATTTGCTGTCCAAAAAATAGACGAATTTATTCCGATGATTCCTTTCCCTTCAATTACTGCATCCTACCAGTGGCGTACTGAGGGGGGGGGGTCGAGAATGGGTCGCGAAATTTTTGAAAGTTACTTAAAGGCAGCGTCCAGGCAGATTCTCGACTTCTATGTTTTTATGTTCAGGCCTTTCCATGGCGCTGATTCCGAATATGGAACTCAAAAAGCGTGAATTTTTCAGAAAACTACCTTTCGGGGCTATTTTGGGAAAACCCGGACGCTTCTGATGTTATCCTTGTCAAAAGCAAGTATTAACAGGTAACAGGTAAACGCTGTAGGTTCGACTGTGTTGGTCATCTGAAAACACGTCAAGACTGGGGAGATTTCGTTCATAAGGGATTGGCCGTCCGAGGAAAGTGGGCGTAGTCGTCGAGCTCGGACCTGCCTGGACGCTGCCTTTAAGTAGGTCATGAAGCCCCACCCTTCAGCCGCCAAGCCAATTGAATCAAAGGGTCCTCAGGTTGATTGGATGGCGCCGAATACCAAAAAAATCGATTTTATTTTATAAAGATCTCATATGCTTACTTCATAACTCACCTATACCTTTTGAAGTTACAACTTACCAAACCAGGAAAGAACACTAATTGAAAGCCGAGGTAACGTTGTGTGAACGAGCTACTGTTTCGATTCTTAGCCGAACCTGTTGATCAATAATTGCTAAATTCAACTTTGAACTCACATTTAAGTCGAACTGTAGCTGGCTTGGATGTCCATAGGACTGTATGTTACCGTAAGCATTTTTTGGTGTGATTACTGTACCGACACTGGCCAATGGACACATTGCATCTGTTGATGGGTAGACGGAGCCTGGCAATCGATTATTGATCGATGGAATGAAAAATACTACTGCAAAGAAATTTACTGACCATCGCAAGGATTTACCAAATAGATCCCATCCGGGAGATTGATGAAGACGTATGCAGCCTTGGAGCCTTCCGGAAGCGCGAAACCTAAACAAAATAGTATGAAAATCGATTATCGATTCAGTTTTTGAAGGTACCTAGCACTAAGCAGCTCGGAATTTGCAGGGAAAGCAACCAACAGCAGAGCAACACTGCGTGTTCTTCTTCGTCACCACAGCCAAGGGAGAGGAACTAGAAGAAACAATTTTAGGAAATTTTGACAATTTTTACCTGCTACTCATTAAAAATCTTCGAAAGTATAAATAGTAAAAATGTGGAAGTTACTACAAATTATTAGCGTTAGTGCATGTCAATCAGTACTAATCGATATTTATACATAGTAGATCGCTACGGGACCTTCTCGACATCACAGCTGTGACTACAGCAAGAAAAAAAAAACGAAAATTTTCGTGATATTCCATCCTCTTACAGTAAAATTAGCGACCATCGGTTTCAATCAATAACTGTTCTATACTTCTATATAGTATACGTCAAGTCGCTGCAGAACCTTCTCGATTGTAGTCCAAAGATCAGTGGAGCCAGGAAACAAGGCTGGATCGGCAACGAATGGAATTTGACTGACTAGTCGAGCGGCAACTTCTACAGTACGCCGCGGATTTGCGCCCGGATGCGGCACGGATTGCGGAGGTCGCACTGGAGCGAGGAATCTAGAAAATCAACATAAACACATGGGTAAGCAGCATGCAAAGCTCAATCAATTAAATCATTGATTACCTGCAAGCTAATACAGCCTTGCCGTTGATGTCAGTAACAAGTGCAGCATAGCGCCGACTATCATCTACTGCAGTGCAAGCTCTGGTCCATGCTTGGCACTGTGCCACAATCTGAAATTTACAGATCTCAAGAGACAATCAATCGATAATCAATAATTGACTAACTTTTTCATTTTCGACGGATTCCACACGATCTGGAGGTTGCATACGTGGTGGAGCCAAAGGTGGGTCAAAAGCAATCAATACTTTCAGGTAAGAGGGCCGATCGGGCATACTGTATTAATACATACGGTAGTGGGCATAGATACTTTTTCTAGTAATTTTGAATCAGAAGGTTTTGGAGCAACCTTTCCAAAATACTGTAGATAAGTAATTTATAAAGTCACCTATAACCCGTAAAGAATAGCGGACGCTGTAACCGTAACCATCCATCGATTTTTCCTCTACCGTATACGGTAGAGAATGGCACTTCGATCCAACCAATAAGACGACGTAGCAGTTGTTCATGTACAACATTTGTTAAACGATCATCTTTGTCAAGTGTGGACACAATCTGAAAATCGATATATCGATTGATTGGAAATGATGCAATTGTTCTTCTGTGGAGCTAGTGATCATCGTTAGAGAGACAAAAACTGCGAAAATTGGTGAATAGGCAGCCATCAAGTTTTTTTTTGCTTCCTCAGCTGCTACCGTATCCATACCGTAATGGCATAACTGATAAATAATTTGTAAACGTATACGATTTTTACACTCATGCACGTTAAATATCTGGTAGTTAGCATCGTTATTACTGCTTATTATTTCGCCACCGTAATAATACCGTAATCCTATATCCTAATAGGTGCAATATTTCAACAAATTAGTGCAGGCGTCTAAAAATTGTTCTCATAATACAACAAACAGAAACTATGATTTGGAATGATAATTAGTCAATATTGATCCTGATTCCTGAACTGCTACCGTATCTATACCGTAACCACGTAAATTTCGACGAAGATTTGTGCTTATATTTTTCACATTCACGCATATGATAAATAGGACAGCAGACAGAAGTTACGAAATTGTCATAACAACCAGCCTATGCTCTTGCTATTTGTTTTTTAATTTGCTACACATACCGTAATGAGCACTATGTCAATTAATTAGTTGTGGGCGTTTGCGTATTTTTTTGTTTTCAGGGATAAATACGTAAAACAGACAGAAGCTACGAAATATGACAATTCGCTATTAACGCTCCTACTTGCTTCTTGTTTTGCTACCGTATCCTTACCGTAATTGCATGTTATTTCGGTGAACCACGTTGCAAGAGCGTTGATATTTTTTCATATTTACCCATGATGAATGCAACAAACAAGTTGAATTTGATGCAGTGATCTTTGGTAGTTAATAATAATCATGAATAAGTAATAATCGAACAATAATGTCCCTACTTACTACCGTAACCATACCGTAATCTGATTTGCTGCTGTAACCATACCGTAATTTTCTGGAACAAAGTTCTTGTACAAATTTAGCAACAGCACGCACATCCGGATGAGTCAGTGCCCCATTAGACCACGCCTCTTTCGCACTTTGTCCGTACTAGAATAACAGGATGTCACACCTATTTTGGTTGTGTTGTCTGTTATCAGTTACTCTGATCAAAACCATGTCTGATCAGGTGAGTTCCACATTTGACATGTTAGAATCAATCGATATGCATGCTTTGTTTTTTGTTCGTCATGTCAGAATTGGTGGAACGTGTCAGAACATGTTTAAAACTGTGAATATTTACATGATTTACAGTATCCCGGATATTCTTCTATCGGAAGACGATTGCCTAATCATCCGCCACCATTTGTAGCACCGGAAGAAGAAGCGTATATTCCCAAGGTAGGTTGAATAGGTCATCTATCTTGGTTAGAGCGCGATTGTAGCCAAATGACAGAAATAAGTAGGTAATTACAGGTCGTTCCTGTACCTCCCAAGCAGACTGAGAATGAAAACCAGCAAAAGCAAGAGGAAAATCAGAAAAACGAACAAAGCAAGGACAAAACTAAAGAAAAATCACAACATTAAGAAAAAGAAAAATCACACATTAATTGGTGCATTTTTGCGTGTACGTGTAATTATATATAACATATATTTCTTGTAAAAAAATGTTCCTGCTTAATGAATCATGTGCAAATCAAGTGTTTGCTATAAATCTCGCTGAAATATGAGAATATCAAAAAAAATCAAAAATTTTACGTTCAAGCAGCACGTGCAAATTTCCCCATTTCAAAAACATTCTGTAAACTTTATGATAAAAATAAACATCTGCCCTATGGTTTGTTGGCCTAGTCTATCCGCCATAAACTTCAAAGTTTATTTTGAAAGTTCATAAACAATGTGTACGCTCAACAAAGATCATATGACTAAAGTGGTGAGCACTAGTATCTAGAACATTTGGTTTTCGATATGGGAAATGATAAGAGGCTTGAGGAAAAAGCAATTAGTGTTGCAATATTTGAGATAGTCACATAGATTAAATGGCTGCATTTAGCTGATAAGACTTTTTTATGGCATAAAGGCAATTTCCAAGTCTTAGATGCAATCTAATTGTGGAGTCTTAAGACTGGTAGAGTCAACCGTGTGCCAACGCCGTGTCACTGCCGTGCCAGCGTCGTCGAGCGATCGATAATGAACGCGTTTTAGAGCCAGTACGACGCTGGCACAGTTACACAGTTTAACTAAGCCCTTTCCCAAGCAGCAGGATGCATCACCGAGTAGAAATATTCAAGTATAAAATGTCGCCCAGACCGCACTTTAAGGGCTGACAAACCTGCGACCCCGAATACGGTATACGGTATTGGACGAAACTTCAATTGTATGTTCTGGTCGCAAAAGAGCCATATACATATTTTCAGAATTTGATTTCAATAGGAAGCACATAAGATTCTCCTCAGGAAATCTCAAACTGAGCCGACCAATCAGCGTGAGGATGCCCCCCCCCCCGAGAAAGGGTCGTGAAAATTTTGAAATTTACTTACATGGTTATAAAAATGTGCAAGTAATTTGTTTGTTCTTGTAAATTACTGAAACGTTTTAGAAAAAGCTTTTCAAAAAGTCATGGACCCGCAAAGATCCTAACTAAGAAGCACCTCAAAAAATTTTTCGGACTGTGTGGCTATCGCCACGCAACCTTCATTCAAAGAAGTCTTTTTGCCGCTCTCCCACCGCCCCCGCACGGACATCCTGGAACGCCAGGATGTCCGTGCGGGGGGTATCATGGAGTATCATGCTTACTAAAGAATTAACATTCTTATAATAGGCTGTGAAGAGTTTCTAGAACATATGCGCGAGTCGCAAGATACAAAATTGTGCAGTCAACTCGTTCTTATATTTTTGGAGATATTTTTGCTTTTGAAGAGAGAGGAAATTTTTGCTAATCTTTGCTCTTTTGAAGGATCAGTGATCAAAATGCATGTGAAGAATGCTCATCAGCATGTTTTCATAACACCGCACGTGATAGATAAAAACCGAGCATTTCCATTCTTAGCTTTCTGATGTCATTTTAAGAAAGCATGCGCCCACGATGACTAATTCTGTGAAAGCGCGGTGTTGATGACGTATATTTGCACAACGATTGTGTCACGCTCTTCTTGTTTCAGCAGTAAATTGGCAGCGCCCAGACGCTATCGACTTCTGTTGCGGCAATCGATTTATTTAAATGTCTGGTTATTCAAGCCAGGTAAGCAATCACTTTGAAATTTCCAAAAAATCCTTTTATAACGATCAAATATGATTATCCATAAGTTTGATTCCTTCGAAAGGTTGTAATTTTTTAGCAAATCATTTCGCAAGCGGCTTATGAAGTTGTGCGAGTCATAAGTACCGTTATCGTTGAAGAAAGTTGTTTTTTTCCGAAATAAATCTTCTTGGAGCACCAAAACTTGGAAAAAGTCTGAGATGCAATTAAAACAAAAGCTCAAATCATCCTCTTTGAAAACTTTCTGATTCAATCCAGGAAGGATCCCATATCAAAGTTTTTGGCTTTTGGTGAAGCTTAAACTAGTAAATGTTTACTTGAACGTTATAAGGAATTAAAGTACGAATATAAATAGAATTTTTCTGGATATTTGAGTTTTTTTTTTTCAATAATTGTAACCACTTTAGCAAAGTCTGCTTGCTAAAGAAATTAGTAAAGTTTGATAAAATATTCGAGATAGAGTTTGGGCAATTGTTCCTCTGCATTTACAAATTGTCAGAAATGAATGGGAAACAATAACATACAAAAAGAAAATTGGAGAGATTATGTTAGCTGATAAAATTAGCAATCATTGAATATTAATTGCAGAAAAATCCTTGTAAAAATTCTTGAAAATTTTTCTCTTCTGCAAAGAAAATTATACTGCTACGGTCTGTGTCAAGGAGCAATTCGTTTTCCAAGTGTGCACGCATGCTCAGCGCGACGACCACATGCACGCGACGTGTCACGAGGCTTTAGCATGGCTATGTCGCCAATGGAAAAGAACTATGAAATTGAAATAGACTGTAGTACTTTCGCATCAATACCCTACGTGCAATCTGTTTTGGAGTAAAGAAAAAGCGATTTTGGCTTAAGCTCTTCATATCTAATAAAATACCAATAATTGACAGCTTTTTATTTTTTCAGGAACCAGATGGAAATTCACATCAATCCACTTCTGAACAGCAAAATTGTGCGCCACAACAACCTTCTTCAAGCTCTCATCGCCATCACACAACGGTTGGTTGCACTCCTATTATTTTTTGAACAGATTTTGGCATTGGAGCATGTTTTCTGTTATGTTAATATTTACCTTATTGGATGCTGAAGGCAACATCCACCCAGACTGAGGTTGATGAATTTTTGATGTTGCATAATAGAAGGCCCCAAACTAAAAAAGTGTCCGAGACCCGCTGCAAAAGGTGAATTCCGAAGCGAGAAAATTGCTTCAGAAGATAGAGGCGGCTCAGGCGGCTCCGCCCATCAGTGTGGGTGGCCTGGAGATAATGAGTCCAAATTTGTTTGTCAGAGTAGATAGAAGTGTCGAAAATTTGATAATCATAACCATGGACAAATTTATGACATCCTAGATACGTTTGAGCCCAATTTTGATCTTATCATCTTCAGACCACCCACATTGATGGGCGGTGCAGCCTTGGCCACTTCCACCTTCTGGAGCGAATTTCTCGCTTCGGAGTTCACTTTTCGCCGCGGGAATTGGGCGATTTGTGTACAAAATCTCAACAGCTTCAATTTTAGCTGGATTTTTTAATAAAAATAATTTCAGATGATCGTTCATGATGATCGACATCATCACCATGATGGTCATCGCCATCATCACCATGGTATTGCGCATGATCTCTTCCGTGATCGTAATCACCATCATCACCACGGTCACCACCATCATCACAAATAATCAATAAAATCTTCTGTATAGCAGCTATTGAGCTGTGTTGTAAATATGTCATGTTTGTATATATGTGCTCAATAATAAAAATTCTCATTGAAAGTCTTTTTGCATGCGCAAGAGTATGAAGAAGGACAATATGAATACTAGAAAAAATTTGGGGATTTGAAATTTACTGTATAAAAACAACTCATAGGATATGTAATCAATAAAAAAAAAGACTTTGTTGATTGCAGGTCTAATATCGAAGCGGTTCCCCGCAAGGAAAGTGTGAGAAAGAAAAAGTTTAGCTATTTTTTGCTCTTTTCGAAGGATCAATGAACTATTTTTTTCCAAAAATTGTCTGTAGATCAGTTATGATCTTCAGGGAATCAAAAACAGAAAAAATTCAGATACGATACATAAAATGCAAGATTTCCGACAATTTCTAGCTTTCCTGACGCATTTCGAATGAAGGCTGACTCAGAAGACTAATTCTGTGAGATTGCGCTAAAGGTAGACGTATGTTTGCACAACGAATGACAATTTTTCTGGTCCCTGTGTTGAAATTGGTATCGCCAACAACCTTCGACTTCACAATCTCTAATCAAGCAAAATGTCTGATTATTCTTGCCATGTAAGCAATATTTCTCAATTTTTGGCTACAATACTAGCTCCCTGGAAGCTTCAACGTCTCAGTGGGCAAAAATTCGAACAATTTGAAGGGCTAATTCGCAATTGCTTAGGCTCCTTCACTCAAAGCAGAAATATTTTCTAAATAAAGCATTATTGGAATGGAATTCACACCTTTTAGTCTTCTTAACGTCATTCTAAAAGACCCAGAGAACCAATTCTAAAGGGCGAGAACACACCATTTTCCAGATTTTTTAGAACTTTGAATCATTTGATGCTGGTAAAATGTTTAAATTAAGATCAGGATATCTAGATATGGAGATAACAGCGTGTAATTGATTTCCCATGAAAGTTGAGTAGTCGAAAAATAGGACAGTGCCCCTGAAAAATTTGTAAGAAAGGTTTATAATACGTCCTGAAAGAAATGGAGTTCGACAGGTAAAAAAAATGTTAACAAATTTGAAATATCAAAAAAAACTTTTTGAGGGCATGCTTAGGCCACACCTCTTTTTCAAATTTTTGGAGTTATAAGCTTGTCAACGATTTGGAAAACGTTTGAAAAACGTCCACGAAGCATGATTTGAAATCCCTTCAATCAATAAATTTTTTTATCTTTCCTCCCAAAGAAGAAATCTCTCTCAGGGCACCCTTGATGTTAAACAGAGAAGTTGTTTGAGATTTTTATTACATAATTCTGATGCAAAAAGGCAAAGCGCATTAATGTCAATAACCTTATTTGCTCAGAAAAAAAAAGGATTTACAACACTATCAACAGCATTTTACAGGGTCCAAATGGAAGTACAGTTCAATCTTCCTCTGCACAGCAAAATCCAGCGCCACAGGGACCATGTTCAGTTTCCCGTCATCATCACCAAGCTACGGTATGAGGCACCTTGACCTTTTTTTCAAATTTTAGCAATTTTTGCTTCTCTTTTAGGTGACCACCTATGAAGGCTGTCATCGTCACCATGGTGACCATCATGGTATCGTTTATGATGATACCCGTGACCGTAACCACCATCATCACCATGGTCATCACCATCACCACTGTTGAGAAAAAATCTATAAGCAGTTCAAAAGCTGGTATTGTATACATTATGTATACGGTATAATGTTCTAAATAATAAAAGTTACATAAAAATTGTTGCATGTCTGAAAGCAAAATATAAAAAATCGAAGTTATTTTCGGATTACCCTTTGATTCAACTGGCTTAGCAGCTGGAAGGCGAGGCCTCTGACCCAATTATGGGTAGGTAATGGTCAGAGAGCACGCGCGCGGTAGAGACGCAGACTGCGTCGCGGGAGCGAGCGGCCTTAAACAGGTCACAAAATCTCGCCTTCTAGACGCCAGGCCAGTTGAATCATAGGTTACATCTAATATACAAAGAATCGTAACGCCATTTTGAAAATCATCAGATAGCGGGAAACCGCGGTGCGGTCCAGAAGCGCGCGAATACAATCTGGTACCTTTAAATACTGGTTCATTAATAAAGTTTAAACATTTGAAAGGGAGAATAGAGTGCAGCATAAATCAAAAAATCCACTTAGGCTTTTTTCGTACCACTTATTATAACTTTTACGTTATTTTTTAACGTTTCTTTGACATAATTCGTTACCGGGCTGCTTCATTACGTTTCAATAATGGTGCAGTCAATGACTACGGGAAGAGATGACTGTGAGCAATTGTGAGCAAAGCTCATAATTCCTTAATTAACGTAAGAAGGACTACACACTGCCAAGGAGAGTAGGTAGTCTCGTAGCTTAGCCTTGAAACTTCATACATAATTAGTTTTACGTTTATAAGGTCCCAAGCGCGCAGCTGTCCAAACGGACCAAACTAGATAGCCTACTTCCTTTTTCACACTGCGTATCTTTATCCAATAAAATTGCCAATTCAGCAAGTTGTAAGAAAGTCTTCCTTGTTGAAATGACGCACACAAGGTAGGCGTTCTAAGGTTTATCTTCCAGACCACGCCTTCCCGAAAGAAAAAGCGGCGATAAATAGGCAAGCATAGCGCCTATCAACGGCTGCAGCTCTGCTATCAAAGCGATCATGTCTTATTACCCAAACCAGGTAGGTATTTTTTGTCGATTATTTTATTGATTAACGCATTTTGATCTCGTTTTTACAGTATCCAGGCGGAGGCGCTCCTTACTCTCCTTATGGACAACAATATCCCCATGGTTATCAACAGCCATATGGTCCACCAGCACATGTTCATGTCCCACCCCCGGTAGGTCAAATTTTTCTTGATTTTGGGTGATTTACAACTTATGCTTCCTTTTTAGGTAATCATCCACGAAAATCATCATCACGAAGGTCATCATGGCCACTATGATCATCACCATCATGGCTATCATCACGATCATCACTATGATCATCATCACCATCATCATCATGGTCATCACTACTAAATGGGCAGCAAAAGTCCCCCCCCCCATTTTGTTGATAAATATTTCATTTGATTTCCTATGTAAATAATTTTCTGTGATGATAAATTTTGTACATAGAGCAGTGTCTAGGTCTGAATTTATTTTTATAAGCTTTGAAAGGCCCCGCTAGAAAGTCCTACCTTCTGATTCAGCTGACTTAGTGGTTGAAAATCGGGACTTCGTGACTAATTAAGGCTAGGTAATTATCAGAGAGCACGCGCGCGGGAGAGACGCAGACTGCGTCGCGGGCGCGGGCGGCATTCACTAGGTCACAAAGCTCCGCCTTTCAGCCGCCAAGCCATTTTAATCAAAGGTCAGATTAGTTATTGCCACTCCAACAATATTGGTTCCGACCACATCGAACTATTTTTTTTCTTCAGAAAATTATTTTTCTTTTCAGGGGGGGGGAGTAAAAACATACACTACTCGTTTAGTAGTGCGCCACAAAAACTGAGTAATTTATTTTGGTTTCTCATCCGTTAGTAAGGTGCGGTGCGGCACGAATTTACTCCGAGGGGATGTAACAAAAATATCTTGCGAAGAGTTTTAGGTAAATCCCAGTCATTTGCCGAAATTTTCTGTAATTTTGAGAATCTCTAAAATCATTCTGAGTATCTACAATCCAAAAAGTCACATCATATTACTGCTTCGCATTACTTCTATTTCATTTTTTGCAGCTTCTCTAACATAATCAGACACCGGCTTGCTCCAGTGCAAATTTTTATGATAAAAGCGTAAGCGATTGCGCGCAGAGTTCATACTTCAGTAATCCATCTGAAAAACTATATACTACCAAGATGGATAGACAAGTAATCTTAACCTTGTATTCAATTACTCAGACAACTGACCGGAACTTCCGCAGAACGTTTTGGGGTAGTTCCGCCGGGTCACCTTCGAAAGTTCCGTAAACGTGCTGCGGAAGTTCCGAACAGTGCGAACCACAACAGCAAAGGAGAACACCGAAGCGAGATTTGAACCTTACTCTAGTGACTCTTTGGAAGTTCCGCAGCGCTTTGTATAAATCCCTAAGGAAGCTCCTGTTTTCATCCTGTCTAACGTGAAAATTCTGCGGAAGTTCCCGTTTTCAACGTTTCCACTTTTGCAATAGTAAACATAATCTTGCGGAAGCGCTGCAAATTTTGCTTACCCTGCGGAAGTTCCGGTGAATTGTCTGAGTAGTTTTACGCTTTTTAGGGGTTACAAACGCTTTGCAGTGTCTAACAAGGGAAGGATAGTTGGATGCCGCGGCCATTCCTAATGATTTGTATACCAAAAAATGCGTCTTCGAATGCAGATTCTGAATCTGTGCTCGAAATCTGCGAAACGATCTTTTGAAGAAAGTTATGAACTTTTTTTCTTGAAAATTTAGCCTACTTTTGGATAGTAAAAATCACCAGATTTGATCTAGCCTACCGTTTGATGCTACTGAAGAAAATTCTAGACATAGTAATATTTATTTAGACTATCTGGATCATACTCAGCATCTGGAAAGGAGAGAAAATTTTTTTATTGATGATTCTGACCCTCCGCAAGAACGCAATTTTTTAATGAAAAAAAATCATAACTCCATTCAGATTATCGTTTTGCAGATATGAAAGACAGTCTACGAACCAGCATTCAAAAGCGCATTTTTTTGTATACAAATCATTGAAAATGGCTACGGCATCCAAGTATCCTTCCCCTGTAAGTGGACCGAATTAGGTAGCCTAGTTTCTTTTTCACTCTGCTTATCTCCCGCCAATAAAACTGTCAATCAGTAAGTTTTGAATTTGTCGTTGAAAGTGACGCACTCATGGTAAGCGTTTTGAGGCTTATCTTCCAAAATTACGCTTTCCCGTGGAAAAAGGGGCGATAAATAGGCAAGTACAGAGCCTATCGTCGCAGCTCTGCTGTCGGAGCAAAAATGTCTTACTACCCAAGACGGGTTTGTTTTTTCTCCATCAGGGCTCGGCACGAGCTGGCACCAGGGAAATTTCAAAACAAATTCCCCTTTGACCCTGAACTTTAACAGTAAAAAAACACTTGAAAAAACGCCGCAATCATTGTGTCTTTTTGTTCCAAAAAGATATACAACTTGACTTGACTCGATGCCAGCTGTGATGAGCCCTGCGTTGTTTCATAAATCGATTTATTGATTGATGCAATTTGTTCTTGTTTTTACAGTATCCAGGAAGCGCTGAGTCGCATTCTTCCGATAGGCAACAGGACCTGCATCTCTACCTCCGTGACAAACCAGTGGTAAGACAGATTTTTTTTTGAATTTTTATAAAATACGATTTAAACGCTAAATTTAGGTAATCACCCACGAATATCCCGATGAGTATAGCTATTTCGATGTTGTCACCGCGGCTCTCCTCTCTATCTTCTATATCGTTCTTACTTATGCTTATTTACACGACTTTATAAGGTATCTTAATGACCAAAAATAATTGAATATCACTCACCTGACTGATAAAACAATGTCTCTAATTTTTTAAATAAATAACAACACATAACGATAAACGATATTTATTTAGTTGTTGATATTTATTCAGATGATTCTGAAAACTGATGGTTTAATGAAACAGAACTCAGAGTCAAAAATCCTATCTAAGCGAAGGACCTTAGATTATCGGGAAGCTTTTTGCGCGCCACGGAAAGAATCTAAATAGAAGCCAAACACCAATGATTAATTGGCTAGGCTTCAAATTTAGGTCAAGGTTATTAATCCACATAAAACTATTGGTAAGAAAAGTAGTCTTTTAGTGGATTTACAGGGATTTTTTGAATTCTTTGAATTTTTTTGACAGTATTTTTAACACAAAAGGTAAAGTCTGTGAAACAATCAAAGATAAAAATTGCATCCAAGCAAAAGCTAAAAAAAGGAATGAGTCGAAGACAGCGCACTCTATAAGTTAGGATTTTCTTGATCTTCCCGGAGTAAATAGACTTTAATAAAACATATTACCTCTAAGTATTGCGATTCAACTGGGTTTGGCGGCTGGAAGGCGGACGTACGTGACCTAGTTAAGGCTAAAGAAAGACCAGAGAGCACGGGAGCGAGAGAGACGCAGACTGCGTCGCGGGCCCGAGCGGCCTCATCTACAACAAAGCTCCGCCTTCCAGCCGCCAAGTCAGTTGAATCAAAAATAGTATCTCTTGATTTCGCCATTTCCGAGTGAGCTGATAATTAATAAAAAGAGGTTGGCTCGTGCGCTTTTTCATGCGTCATTCAACAATCAACACTCTGAGAAATATTTGTTGTTATCTAAAATCCATCTCTGACAATTCACGAGAACTTCCACAGGACAAGCAAAATTTGCAGCGGTTCCGCAGGATTTTCTTTACCATTACAAAAGTGGACGTTGGAAATGGGGACTTCCGCGTGATTTTCAAGTCAGACTGGTTAAAAAAACGGCAATTCCATGGGACTTGCTACAAAACGCTGCGGAAATCGCGTAAAGCCATTGACTGGCAGCAGTTTGGCCTGCCAGTACTTCCGCAGGTTTTTTAAATGTGTTGTCCCGTATGAGGCTGCCTCGCCAAGAACTAGATTGCATTATCGAATATGGCAGCGGTAGTGGAGAGGATAGTTGGTGAGTCTCACAGTCGATTGAGTAAGGTTCAGATTTCGCTTAGGTGTTCTCTTTTGCTGTTGTGGTTCACATTGTTCGGAACTTCTGCAGCACTTCGTTTGGGAACTTCCGCAGTTGATGCAGCGGAACTTCCCTAAACGTCCTGCGGAAGTTCCGGTCACTTGTCTGAATTAGAGTATTCTGCCTAATTGCAAGTGTTGAATTTTTTTGTCTTGTTATTTTTTGAGGAAGAACTCAGTATAAGCAAAAAAAGTTAAAAAAATATGATATCAAATTAATATAGTAATGGTGCGAAGGCTTATCCGGAATCATGAAATCTGAAGAGTTTTTCGTTTGCGTTAATGTTTACGATCTCACATCAGATTATAGAGGAAAAAAATCCCTTGCATGCCAAACTAAAAAATCAAAAATTGGCTGAAGGATGAAAGCAAAAATTAATAAAAATTTCCTCCTTTGAGAAAAGCGAAATCAAAATTTCTTTCGCGCTAATATTCTGCACTAGCTGGTTTGACAAAAGCTAATTTTGGATTAACACGTCTGAGATTTTCGCTAGAGTGAAAAATTACTTTAAAATAATATATAATATAGTTCTTTTTTAAAATCAGCCTTATCTATGGTCAGCTTTACCTATGACCTGTGCAGAAAAATAAGAATGAAGTGAAAAGGTGAAGAGTCATCGCTTATGAGAAAGCTGATTCATTCCGCAATTGCGACATTGGCAGTGTTTGTGTACGGCGGCCACGCCCACACAATGGAGAAATTTTGCGAATAAATAGGGTGGATCATGGCAGGCAGCTATCTCTCCGCCACAATGTCTTATCACCATCAGGTATGCCATTTGCAAATTATCGATTGGTTTCTTGACATTTTTTATGATAATTTTTGATTTTAAAGTGCGGAGTATTATCCCAGTTTATTTGAATATTTTTTCAAGTGCCCCGAACAAGGAGCACCAGGTTACAATGCCTATGGACCACAATATCCACAGTACTCAGCACCACCGCCGCCACCAATGATGCATCAAGCACCACCACCACCAGTGCGTTCTTACAGCTATTACTGTAGGATTACGGTAGTTCAGATTATGCCCATTTTAGGTGATAATCCAAGAGCATCACCATGAGGAGCCCCATCACGATGATCACCATCATCATCATGGCATTATGCATAAAATCACACATCCATTCCATCATCATAATCATCATAATGAACACCATCACTGATTAAAGGACTGTTTGATAGTAATGTCGATCCATTGTATGTATTTGTATCACTATTTCCAAATCTCGAATTATTGAAATAAATTAATTTTGTAAAAGCAAATGAGTATTTCAATGTTTTTTCGTAATAAACAAAGTAGACGCTCTCATCTACTTATAAAATACAATGTATTATCATTGATAGGAATTGATGAAAACATATTTTTGAAGGCAACCCTCTTACTCTTCTTTCCTGGCTTCTGTTCTTTTTAGGTAAAATATGGAATAATGCTTCGTCTGCTTGATCACCTTTCAAGAGACAAAACCCACTGACTATCTAAAAAAAAGCTACTTACTTCAATTCTTCCCTCCCTGTTTTACTTCTTTCAGATATTTGGCGAGCTGAATCTATCCACCATTCTATCTTCAAAGAAATCATACAACAATAGCTGACTTTTTAAATACATTTTCGTACACCTTCTCAAAAAGACTACTGTTCTAATTTTTCTGCTCAAAACGCTCTGTTTTATCGATCCTATGCTAGTTTCTGAATTAGGAAACTAAGTTTGTATGCAGTGTGAAATCTCTTTGGTGTTTATCTAGCTTTCTGTTTCGCATTGTGGCAAATAATCTCCTGCCGGATTAAAATCATTAGTTGAGTATCTACGTGAATTTACCAGATCTTATACCTACTCGTTTTCTGCTTTTGTTATTATTCCGCATCTTTACATTATTGAAAGCTTTTATCTTGCATGTTACATTCATATGCTCAAACACGGAGGAACTGGAGGCGGTCGGTAGTGTAATGAACGCCTAGGTACGAGTGGATTTGCCATATCGCCTACGTACTATAGGGGCCTGCAGGATCGCGAGAGTCGGACGTGCGTACGGCCATTGCGCCGCGCACGTCCGATGTCACTAAGGCAAGTGCCAGACTTATCCACTTCAGCCGTTCGTTCGGTTCATAGGTCAAATCACTACACTGTCCAACAGCAAAGGTGGTGAACCGAATGAACCTGTTCAACAGGATAAGTCTGGCACTTACCTGGGCCGTCGCACGCAGTTCTGACGTGCGCGGCGCAATGGCCGTACGCACGTCCGACTCTCGCGATCCTGCAGGCTCCTATACCACCAAAGCATGCCACTCGAAAGTGATCTATTACTCGCACTAGGGTATCCCATCATGCTCCGTTATTTTGGGCACACATTCTACTACCTATTCTTCATGCTTGCGATCGAAGCTTTCAATAATGTTTGAAAGAATCTTTTTGCGCAGATAACTTCGCATATTGACATACCATCTTTTCAAATTGATTTACTACAAATAAAACTTTTTAACCTTTTTATGATTCTTAAGCAGAAGATTTAGCGAGGTGAAAATGAAAGCAAACCATCTATAGATTTTTCTTCGTATGTATTATGTATTATGCATCATTTCTATTTTGGCGACCTATCTAGCACATTACACTATAGTAATGTATTGAATAAATAAATAAATGAATATATCTATGCTTGCACACAGGGTTTCCACTTTCTTTGATCAAGAATAATCAATATACTTGCAGAAGAAAATTTGCGGAAATAGGATCACCGTAATCACGTTAGTGTCGCGAACGAATCAAACCCTTAACATAAATTTATTGGCTTTTATCCTAAAAAATTTCCAATGTAGAAAGTGAATGCACAAAAATTTGATGGGCGAATAAAATATTGCGTTAGATGCTGGCCCTCAGAAAAGAAAATTTCTTCTTAACAAGGAATATTTAGTCGAAGTGGTCTTTTTAGATGGGATATATACCATGCTGAAAAGCATAAGATGTTGATCCAAATCTACCTTCTTTACAAGCAGAACATTTATGGAAGACGAATTATGGTGCTTATTGGAGCAAAAAATTTAGTGTGCAGTTAGGGCAAAAACAGCCGTAATAGTTTTTCTAGCTCTGCAATGGAGCAGTGATAATCATCAGAGCACTTTATTTAAATGATTCTAAAACTTTAAAAGAAAAAATATACCACACTTGCATTATTTCAGGGGTAGTAAGATTTTAACAACTCATTCTATTCAAAATGCACATCCAGTTTTTGGCTTCAAAAAACGCTTATAACTCCTCGTCCATAAACGTTTTGCAGATAGGGAAGGCTATTTTAAAATCAGTTTTATGCCCTTTGATACACCTGGTATACATCTCATTCAAAAAAAAACCACTTCGACTAAACAAGCTTTCCTTGTAAGAGAAATTCTTGGTATAGGCCGACAAAAAATCTGGGAGAGTGGCTGACGGGGCACCTTCACTCGAAAAAATTTCAACTGTCTCCTTCCTCCCTGAATAAAAATTCTGGAACCGCCACTGACAAGGTAGTTTTAAATGATCTCTTCAGGAGGTGGAAACAATGTATTGGTCCGAGAGGAACATAGAACTACATCAGTGAGATAGTAGGTAAAAGTGAACATAATGAAAGTTGAAAATTCTAATGGAAAATGGATTCAGGATTCATACACGTAAACTTCAATATAAAACCATGTTCTAGCTGTGTTTTCAACCCACTGACGACGATGTGGACCATCGGTGGCCCACACCTGTTGCGAAGTCAAATTCTTTGTATGTCTAGTACTTCTTCCATAGAATGATATAATCCATTTTTTTGTACTCTTGGGACCTGTAGATCCCGCCGTTCAAGAAAATGTTCATAGTTGTTTAAAAAACAACCTTGCATTCGTAACCATACAAACCTTTCCACGCCGAAATTGTTGTGCAAAATCGCGTCGGTCCACAGCGCCGCGGAAAATTGGGGAATGTAGCCGAATTTCTAGCTTTGCCTGCTTTAGAGAAATGATTGAATTATAAAAATAGAAATCTAAAAAGTTCAGCAGTTTCTTATTCTTGCTCCGATAAAGATGTATTGATTGGTTAATTCACAGCATCAAAATTCTGTGCTTACAATAGCAATGCTTGAATCAAATGAGTCAGGATTGTCTCATACAAGACCGATTTTCGATTCAGAACAATGATCTTTTAAGGAATGACTCATAATTCAAAAGCACATGAGCGATGACGTTTGTTTGCTCAAGAATTTCCACGCCTATCGCTATCGGATAGATAGGCCAGTGCCCCTAATCATTTCCCCTTTTCCTCCGTCTTAGTCAATATGTCTTACTATCCTAATCAGGTAAAAAATACATACTAATCGCTGATTGGCTATATGATCTACCGTAATCCCCTTACAGTATCCAGCCGCCTATCCAGGATATCTTGCGCCCTATGGACAACAATATCCCACTCAGGCACCATACATCCAAGCCCCTCCGCCAGTTGTTTATCAACCCCCGGTAGGTCATTACAATGATTTTTGCATTGAGGCATAATCTAGCCATGGAGCATGTTTTTCAATAAATTTAGGTGATTCTAGGTAATTATTTATGACGATCATCATCATCATCACGATTATTATCCACATCATTATGGAATGCACAGTTTCTTCCACGGCCACCATCATCACTATGGGCATCATCAACATTGTTAGGAAAAAAATTCGGTAGAAAAGGCAACATTGGTGCTTTCCATTTTTGTACATAATATATATGCTGGAATAATAAACATGTACATATATGCGTTCACAGTTAAAAATTCTGTAGTTTCAAAAAAAAAGCAATTGAAAATTTTCTCTGAAGCAATAAATAAAGGAATAATGAAGCTTCAGTTCTAATAACTACGTAATTTTTATCAAAATGGCTAAGAGTCTTATGCTAGACTTTATATTTCTAAGCCAATTCAGTAGAAAACCGTAAATCTTTAGCTGCTGTAGTATACAACCCGTCACTAAGCATTTAGATTCAAATGATAAGCTATCCATTGTCGAGTGCAGCCTTAAAATCTTGAATTACTTGTTTCTAATCCGATTTTGAGCCAAACTGTGCAAAAATCAATAAATTCAATAAGTTGGATATTTTTCCGAACCAGTGTAACAGTCGTTATCATCGTACCCAACTAACCCTCCGTGCCAACTCTTAGCCCCGTAGAGGTTTGCAAAACACTGATAACTAAACTACTAACTGTACAGACACTGTGTCTGGTGGTTGCTCAACCTTGATTCGAAGATTCGAGGCTCCGACGAAGGTGAAGGCAGCGAAATTAGCCTTTCTGAATAAATCGTGTTAACGATCTTCGTTATCGGCTATAGAATACGTATTAAATAACCAACTCATGCCAAGATTGTAATCGAGCTTGGATTTGAATCAAATGTACCAGCCTAACATTCTCGATTACTGAAAGAAGTATTCTCTGTTTCAGTGGTAGTGTCACCTACTCTACTGCATGGAGATATGATAAATGACGCGTTCGAGAACGCGGTCCGAAGCCCAAGCCCCGTCAAGACGCCGGGTTGGCGACATTACCAATGAAAAAGAGGGTACACATTTCGATAGTTTGTTGCGCTAGAAGGATTTTTTACTAACGGACTAGTATAAGGGTTTCCCATGATTTTTATTGTTTTTATTAGGTGGGTCCGAAAGTTCTGTCGTTTTATTTTTGAAAAATTGTATCTTCGCAAAATTTGAACGGATTTGCTTGCTTTTAATTTTGTTAGAAAGAATAAGTCTTTCGCTTTGAGTGCTATTTTGCGGAGCTTCTGTCTCATACTGGGTGCGGAGATGAAAATGGAAAACTAAGACCGTATAAGCTTTGACCATTTTAGGTTAGGTCAAAAATCTGGAATGCTGCAGAAAAATCTGAAATCGTCAGTACATATGTTTTTTGGCCTACCCTTTGCATCTGTAAAAAGTTTGCGATGTTTGGGCGTCTCTGTGAAAAGTTATGAATATCGAGTTTACTATGGAAAACGCCAAAATTAATTAATTTGTCAATTTTCGCGAAAATTTTAACTTCTCACAGAGACGTCCATGCGGCACAAACTCCTCACAGTTGTGAAGGGTAGGCCAAAAACATATGTACTGACGATTTCAGATTTTTTCGCAGCGTTCTAGATTTTTGGTGACCTAAAAAATGGTCAAAGATTATATGGTCTTACTTTTTCAATTTAATTTCTGCATTCAGTGTGAAACCAAGGCTCTTCAAAACAGCGTTTGAAAGCTAAAGACTTTTTCTTTCTAACAAAATTAAAAGCAAAACAAAACCGCTTAGGTTTCGCGAAGTTACAAATTTTTGAAAATGAAACGACAGAACTTTCGGACCCACCTAATACTTTCATTCACAATGGCTTCTATTATTCTTGTTTTTCGAGTAGGTTCTGCGTTATTATTCCTTACTAAGGCTGTTTCAAACAAATTTCGAAGTAGAAATCTTAAAAAAAGCCAAACGCCTGAAAAATCGAAAAAATCTTATTTTTGTCCAAACATACTATACATCTCTGGCAGTGCATGTAATTTCGATCGTAGAGCCAATTTCATACAAAAACTTTCAGATCAGGTCACATCTTTCCACAAGAATTACCCGGATTGCATTTAGGCCGGTCTCACTCAGGTCGCATTTTAGTAAAATTTCTTAATAAGGTATCAGTTTGAGAGGAGCCGGAAGACCTCTCTTAAATGTATAGGCTGCTGCATGACGAAGGCGCAATATCTTCGGGCGCAAACGCGGCTTTATTAGCCGCAGTGCGCATGAGGTGCGGAATCTACAACGGTGAGGATATGCGCGTCGCGTTAGCGCCCGCTCAACTAATATCGCCATTGCGCCTTCGTCATGCAGCAGCCTTTACACCGAAATGTGATAGCATGACTTGAGAAGCTTAAATTTGAGTCCGAACTTACACTAGAAAATGTAGATAGTAGAGCCATAGAAGCCATAAGCATTCTATTTGGACACGCGTTTTTTTTTTAGAAAATGTCCACTTTGGTAGTTTATGGAAGCTAACCAAATGATTGTACTATATAAAGCATAAAATTTTTTACTCATTTAACATTAAGTACTCTTTTCAGCACAAATTGTCTTGTCAATTATGCAACGTCCTTTCTATAAGCACAATTCGAAATTCATTTTGGAGTATTCGAAAGGAACGAGGAGAAGAAGAGAGACTTTTTGATGTAAAAGTGTGATCTTTAAAATGTCTAGGAACTGTACTCTAGCCGCCAAAAAGAGAAAAGAAAAAGAGAAAAAGAGAAAAGTGTAAGAATGAATGAAAAATTCTCAAAAGCCCCTAGCAAAAAACTTTTTTCTGTTTTCAGTGTCCAAAGGGCCTTTTATAGTTAGAAAACAACGAACGCAAAGTTGAAGGATAATAGCCATGATGACTATAAAGTCAGTATATCATCTAATCAAAAGTGACGTCATCAGTATTCTTCCTATGTAGCGCCAAATTCAAAAACTTTGTGAAACCACAAATCTGGCATGCCCTTGGTTGTAAATTGGAATCTGCCTTATCATTTCCGCCACAAATGAAACCGAAAAAAATGACTCATTCTGTGAAAGCGCGTCGGCGATGACGTCTATTTGCACAGAAATCACACTCACAGGCTTGCGATAAATAGCCGTTAGCTCAAAGGAGCGATCGCATTTGTTTGCTATCATCGCTTCGATCCTGGTATGTCTAATCACACAACTCAGGTGGGTCAAAAATTTTGACTATCGATTACTAGTCTGATCTGCGTTAGCCAAAGTGATTTTTACAGTATCCACCTGCCCCACCGGCATACTCGCCCTATGGAGCACAGCATCCTCCACCAGCATATGTAAATGCATCATCCGCACCTGTTGTTTATCAGCCACCGGTACATTTGCACTACCGTAACCCAGACACATAAAAAGGCCATATAAAAACTTTTGTTTCTCTCAGGTAATCATCTACGATGATCATCACCACCATCACGGACACCACCATCACCACCACGGATTTCTTCATCGCCTGATTCATGGCCACCACCACCATCACCACGGGCATCACCATCATCACTGTTGAGAAAAACCGATAAAATCAATTATTGTTATTTGTACATAAGCTTTTTCTTCAAGTCTTGTCTATGTAAAGAACTTGTAAATAAAATTATCGAACGAGAACTGGTCCCCGGCTTATCGACATCGTACTGAGATATTCATATTTAGAGCAATAAACCTATGGCATATTTTGGTTTAGTTTCTGATAAATTAATAACTGTCCTAGCAAGAAAATTCCTCGCAAAAAGTGATCCTCTCCTCCCACCCCCCCCCCCCTCCGGAAAAAAGTCAATTTCCCTACAAGATTTCATGGTTCTCAACATTACTTCCTCACAAACAACAGCAGTTATACACATGTATTTATGGAACGAAAACTGGTCCTTGGCATCACAACTACTGGTATGTCCACTTACAAAGCAATGGACATTTTACGTCGAGGCATACTTTCTGTTCATGTTTCGATGAATATCAAATATTCTTGCAAACAAATTTCTAGCGAAAACTGGTCCCCAGAAAAAGAAAGCGACAACAATTTCATTTGGATATGAGGTATCAGAGAGAAAGAATGGTACGCAAGGGTGGGGACAGAAAATGAAGAAAAGTGGTGACGATTCTAAAATATTTAGAATATGTCATGGTGCAAATATTCGAAAAAAAGTTTTTGAAGGATTTTCAGAAATCTCGATTATCTTAGTTGCGAATTAATTGCTTATATTCATAGTTTTACGGAGTCAATTAGTGGATGACATGTTATTCGAGTGGATATTTCAGAAAACTGACATTACTACGGTTTTGAAAAATAATTCCACACCCCCTTTCCCAAACGGAAATGTGGGCGCAGAGATATTTGCTTTCTTCAGAGTACTTTAACAGATCAGAATTTGCCAACATAGTATTGTTACGTATGACTCCCCCACTACCCTCCTCTCTCCCCCCCCCCCCCCCTTCCTCCATCTCCCCCGTCTTGTTAGTCATAAAAAAACCTAGACCTTTGGAAAGGGGCGTTCCAAAAGCTTATCTATCGTCACCACGCCTTCACCGACAACAAAACGGCGATAAATAGGCAAACGTAGCGCTAATCTACGGCGCAGCTTCGCTATCAAACCTAAAATGTCATATTACCCGAATCAGGTTAGTTCCTTGTGCTACCCAGCTGATCTTTGCTTTTTTTACCTTATTTGCGTTACAGTACCCCGGTGGAGGCTACCCACCACAAGGACATCAGTATCCACAGCATGTTCCACCACAACCCTATGGTGCACCACCACATGTTCATGTGCCACCAGCGGTAGGTCAAATTTTTTTTTTTGAAACTGGAAAATCTTGGAAAAAATCATTTTTTGTTTGTAGGTAGTGGTTCATGACAATCATCATCATGATTCTCATCATCATGTACCCCATCATGATCATCATCACGATCATCACGATCAACATCATCATGATCATCACCATGGTCATCATTAGCAATGGCTGCTATATATAATATGATCGATATTGTTTGACCGCTTAAATTTTTATGAATTTTGTAAAATTTGGAAAATTACAATAAAACTATCTACATGACCCGTTCTCATAATGATGTTGGAAAAAAGAGCTGTTTCTTTGCTGAGGCAGATTAACGCAGACAAATGCTCGGAAGATCGTTGTAGTATAAAAAGAAATTTAATAACATGAAAAAATCAAAAGATGAAAGAAAAATGAAGACAGTCTTTTCTTTCCTTCTGTTTCGATTTCAATCTCTAAGACTTTACTTCCCAAAATATCTATCGCCCTATTCTAACTGTGTGCCCGATTCTCGTTAAAAATCTATTTCTCTCTTTCATCGATTGAAAAACTGGATTTAATTTATTTTACGCTTGGTATTCTAAAGGTTCAACAAATAATTTTTTGATAACGTTTAATGATCGTCGAAGTTTCGAGATTACAAATTCTCATGCACTTCATCACTTCAGTCCACTTTCGGGACTTTGGCAGACTTTTGCAAAGATGTGATAAGAGCATATAGACAAACCTTTCATATTGCAAAACTCCTTCCGTTTTCTGACCATATAAATTTTTGATTTTTCGAAAATTTATTGGATTTGGTACTTGTCGCCTGATCCTCATAACCTTCCGACCAGAGTTGAGCGTGGAGCAAGAGCGCCTGACCTGGGGGGTCGTTTGAAGTAAGAGCAAGGGGGGGGAGTGGAGGGGTCGTATCAAGAAGCGAATTTGTTCAAAAAATTGAGGAAATACTACGATCGAGTAAGGTGAAGAGGAAAAGCGCGCTCAACCGTGATTCTCACAACTTCACCAGAGGGGAATGACTGTGGACAGCATGCTGATTAACTCGACTAACGAATTCTGGGCCAAATTTCAATTCTTCCTCCTACTTTACACATACCGTAAGGTAACCAAAGAAGCTTTATATGTAAATTAGGTATGATTTCCGTAATCAGCATGCCAAAAACTATTACATTTTCTAGTGTTTCCAGACGTCTAAAAAACATGATTTCAAACATGATTAACTTGGTCATAAAGGTGAAAGAAGTCAGCTTTTTGTTATCATAACAAAGTATTACCCTTTATCAGTCCATGGTAGGAATCGGACTTCATATTGCTTGCAAATAATGGATTGAGAAGTGCTGCCAAAATGTTAGTCACCGCGTTTTTTACCTCGAGTGCTTCAACTCCACCGATCACCGCAAAGCCAAAACAAGTCGAGGTAAGCTCAAAGACCTCTCATGGAATCTTTGAGGTTTATGCTAGCGAATCATAGATATAAGAATTAAAAAAAAAGGCTCTTTGGTGATAAAGTTTATCGAGGGCGCAACCCCTCAAAAGGTCAGGCTGCCTGAGCTTCTGAGCGGTTGCGCCTGACCCCCTTAACTTGCCTTTGTAGTCCAGAGATCGCTCCATTTCTTGTATGAGTATCGAGCTCATAGCTTCTTCTTCCTGCACTAAAAATTTGGAGCCGAATGTCCCACCCCTCGAAAAATTATGGCTCTTGCAATAGGCCCGTTTTAGATCAAAATCAGCCGTCAAATTACGTGTGATTGTAAAGGGCGGCAAAAAATCGGACGTACAAATCTTGAAAATCTGAAAACTCTCTAGAAAATGAAGATGCCCTCCAAAATGTCACACCCTGAGGTTCCGAGGTCAAGGGGAGGAAGAAGGGATCGTTTGTGGGCTTTCGTTAGGGGGGGGGGGGGGAGGGTGATCGTTTTTTTGTGCCTGACCTCTTGCTCAACTCTGTTTGCGACTGATGCTCTCCTTCGAATTTCGGATGCCCCTTAGGATTTACCAAACTTTGTAGTGCAGGACTTCTTTTGGATTCAAGACTTGCAAAAACCATTTTAAAAAAATCCAAAAAGTTATCTGGGAAGGGGCGGTAAGAATGCAATGGAAATGGATTGTTCAAGCTGTAACTTGATTTTCTAAAAACCTAGAACGAAAATTTTGAAGTTTAGCTAAATTTGAATAAGGCAAAAAAGTTCAAATAGAAAATCAGCGACCTTTTCTACGATCGTCGAAAAAAATTGGCTCAAAACAAATGATACATGTGTAATAAATAATAAAGCTTGCATTAATAACCAAATCTAAATGACCTGTTATCGCTACTTTTGTGATTTACGGGCAGATAAAAGACGGTACAATTTCTACTAAGTCAATTTTATACAATAGAGAATATTCTGAAAAATTGAAAATCTTGAGACGAGTCCACATCTCTATGCTCGTACTAGTTTTGAAAAATTTTCTAGTAACCAGATCTTTTTCAGAGCCTTTCAAATTTCGTAAGTTACTCAGTGAAATTACGACGAAGAATTTCACAGTTTTCACTACCGCAAGCTCATAATAAATTACTTCTTAGACCATCTCAGAAGTTTTTCAGTCTAGCTACATTTCGTTGGTGTTTATACATCAGCAAGGAAGAAGAAGAGGGAACAAAACGTAATGATAGCCCTTGTAAAAAAGTCAAATGGCACTCAGACAAGCTTTTCGTAATTTTTGCTGGGCCGGTAGTAATCCCTCGGACCTGGCGGCAGGTCTCGTCGGCAGGTCGCTGGCACCTTTCCGTGAGGTGGCCAGAAAATAAGCTCCCAAATTTAGGCCGTCCCAGGCCTTTTTTCAAAAAAAAAATTCCTCGACGAAGCTGCCACCTCGACCCTATAGAAACCTCCACTAAAATTTGCGATTCCAGAAATCCTCCTGTAGGAAAATATCTGGAATCGCAGGAGGAGCTGCCGGCAACTTCGCGAGGTTAGTTGCCGGCAGCTCCTCCTGCGCTTCCAGATATTTTCCTACAGGAGGATTTCTGGAATCGCAAATTTCAGTGGAAGTTTCTATAGGAGGTGGCAGCTGCCAGCAGGTCAGACAGCACGGAAAATAGCGTGCTCTTTTGAAAGAGCAAGCTGCCCATCTCGACGTGCCCCTACCACGTCGAAGTATAATCCTGTGTGGTCCTCGACGTATCAACGTAATCATATCAATAATGGAAATCACTCAAATCAATGCACAGTTAGGCTTTAGACATAATTTTGGAGACCAGTTTTCGCCATAGTTATACTTGCACACTTTTCTGCCAATATTTTTCTTACAATTAGATATAACTGATCCTCACGAGCTTTTGTGACGAAAATTGATCCTCGTAAAGGAAGAATCTCAATTTTTAACATTAGTCTTGATAGTTGCTTCTTACGCAGCAAATCTCGCAAAAATTTAGAACCTCTTACTCAGGTTACCAAACATTAGTTCCCATTATGCAGAAAATACAAAAAAATTGGTTCTATAAAAATGTGGGTGAAATTGGGGACAAAACAACTCTTCTTAATTGAGAATCTAGATAAAAAACTGGTATTTGAACGGGAGAGGGCATGGGAGAGAAGACAAAAACATAAATTGGTTGGTTCAAAATAGTTGAAATATGACATGGTGCAGAAAAAAAATTTGTATCATTGGAAAACAAATGTTATTTTGTAATTGAATTACTCGAGAAAATTATTCGAAAATTTTTTGGAAAAGCTTTTTATACCGTTTTTTTTGATTGGCAGAATAATTGCTTTCGTTTTTATTCTCACGTTTTGTCAAACATTATAATCGATGGTGACATTTAACTAACTGGGCTACAGCCTTTAGACAATTTTTACCCCCCCCCCCCCATCCAATCCTTTCGTCCAATAATTGCCGGGGCTGAAATTTGTTTTGCTTTTTTTGAACCACTTTAGAATAGTTCAGAACTTGCCAGCACACGTAGTAAGACCCAGCTCCCCCCCCCCCCCCGCCCCCCTCCCCCTCCACCACGCCTGTTAGTCATAAAAAACGTAACCCTTTCGAAAAGGGCGTTCCAAAGCTTATCTATGGCACGCCTTCACCGACAACAAAACGGCGATAAATAGGCAAACGTAGCGCTAATCTACGGCGCAGCTTCGCTATCAAACCTAAAATGTCATATTACCCGAATCAGGTTAGTTCCTTGTGTTACCCAGCTGATCTTTGTGTTTTTACCCTATTGGCGTTACAGTACCCCGGTGGAGGCTACCCACCACAAGGACATCAATATCCACAGCATGTTCCACCACAACCCTATGGTGCACCACCACATGTTCATGTGCCACCACCGGTAGGTCACATTTTTTAAAAATGGAAAATCCGAAAAAAAAATATTTTTCTTTGTTTGTAGGTAGTGGTCCATGACAATCATCACCATGATTCCCATCATCATGAACCCCACCACGATCATCATCACGGTCATCACGATCATCACGATCATCACCATGATCATCATCACGGTCATCACTAATAATCGCTGGATCTACTTTGAACAACAACATTACAACTTACGTCTGTATGAGTTTTGTATAATTTGTAAAATTATAATAAAAAGATGTACATATAGATTTCTTATCTCATTTTGTAAAAGGCGGCTAATTTTATTTATTTTTTCTTGAAAAATATCAACGCTGACGTTAGTACGAAAGATCGTAATGAAAAAAAAAGAAATATGAAATCAAGCAAAAAATGAGACGATGTCGGGAAGACTATCAAATTTAGCCTCTTCTTAACTGCCTCCTGATGAATTTTCTAGAAATTTCAGGACTTCAGTTATCATAAAACTTATCGCGTTTTTATTCAAATTTATCGGTTGTTCCATAAGTCTTTTTCGAGTTGATATTTTCTAGGAACTAGGGCACCTATAAGTTTGCAAATTTGTGGCAGTATTTGTAATTGATTAAGCTATATAATAACACTTTTGCGGGATTGGAATCGCTAAAGGCAAATTTTTAAAATTCAGCTCATAATTTTTTTCTTGACCTCTAGCTATCAGAAAAATGAAAAAAAATGTATCCTTTGATTCAACTGGATTGGCGGCTGGAAGGTGGAGTTTCGGACCTAGGGAGTGCTAAGGAGTGATCAGAGAGCATTTTCGCGATGGAGACGCAGACTGCGTCGCCGGCGCGAGCGGTCGCCTCTCAGCTACCAATCTCGTTTGAAAAGGATATGCATAAATAGTTGATGGGATCCGTATATGCTTGAGGAAGTAGGAAATTTGCAGTTGTTTTAGACTGAGATATATGATTATTTTCGTTTGTTCGGGATAAGGATTTTTTTATTTTGCTTAAAACCAATGCGGACCAATTTGATGCGAACTCTTGAAGTTCTAAATTTGGTTTTTCAAGACTCACAATTCGGATAATTCCTTTTTATACGTTATTTCAAAGATATTCTCAAATTGCATGAAATAATTTTGGACAGTTATTTTCAACAACAACCGAAGCAGTTTTTCTTCCTTTTTCGGTATCTAGCTTGTAAAAATACTTTTGAATTCAAAATTTTTATGCACTTTATAGCTCCAATTTTTGAAATCTTCGCAAATTTTCCGAAAATATGCTAACATGCAAAACAAAGCAAATTTTTCTCATTGCGAAACTTCACTTCGTTCTCTAGTTAGATTCTTGATTTTTTTCCTTTTTTGGTCTATTCCATCACTACCAAACTTTTACCATGACGCCTAATTTTGCGTGGCAGCGCTGTGGGACGACGCGATTTTGCACAACACGTGGGAAGGTTTTGTGGTTATTTACGAAATGCAAAGTTGTTTTGTAAACGACTATGAACATTTTCTTGAACGATAGAGCCTACAAGTCCCAAGAGTGCAAAAATTGGAAAAAAAACCAAAACTGTAGACCTACAAATAATATGAATTTGCAAGAGCTGTGGGCCACCGGTGGTCCATATTGTCCCTGGCAGCAAAAAGTGCATGGACGACCCGTGGTCCACAACGTCGTCGAGGGTTGATAAATATCTGGTGTTATACTTTGTTGTACGCCTTAGACCAAGTCTTCGTTCAATTTTGGATAGATACCGCTTGAAATTTTATTTGGTGAGATGATGGTTAACTAGTTTTTCTTTGAGTTCGAGAACATTAAAATCATTTCAGATATCAAAATAAACATTTGACAAGTTGGAATAGCAGTGCTTCGGTAAAAATAGCTGTATCTGCTTGTCATTGAATCTCCTAGGGTTCAGAAACAATTTTAAAGTTTGGCAGAGACTAAATAAGGAGTCAAAGGCCAGCTATTACTTCCACAACTGCAAAAAACCGTTCGGTCACCTAGTTGCTAAGTCAACAACGTCTGGGATTTGTCTACTGTCAGTTTTGTGAATTGCAGAGAGGTGAAAAAGCGGTAAGACTCGAAAATATAGGTTGTTTGGAAACTTGTGGCCTGAATTACATCGAACATGAATTCTTGAGAATTCTTGAGCGCTTTGGTTTTGTAAATCGTTCAAAAAAAAAGAAAGCTTCACGCTGCAAGATACTGCAGAATATTCGAAAGGAACCACTTGTTTTGTTCAAAGGCACCTTCCACCCTATGTTAAGGGTCCTGAGCTTTTTGCAATTTAATATAGTGGGACTCACTCCCCCCCCCCCTACTCCCTCCTCCTCCCAAGCCAGTGCCCAAGTCGCGGTACAAAATGTCGCTTTGGAAACGAGAAGATTGCTCCGGAATAGCGAATAGGCCTGAGTACCCCAAGTCGGCACCGCCGTCTACAGTAACGCCCGCCCACCGTGCGCGCTCACCCAATCGCCGTTTTGGAGGGTCCTTGCGGGTTCTCCGGAACGGGGATTGTCGGAGTTTTTGCGGATTCTCGACTTGATCGAAGTTAGTGGCATGATAACAAAATCTGGGTGGACGGTGCCTTCAAGGCATACGGGACATTACATATTCTGTTTACGCTAAAAACGGATCCAGCTTTTTTTTCTCGTACCAAAAAATTTCCCAAGTTTTTTTTGTGACAGAAGTCGTGTAATAGCTTGCGATCAAATTTTTCTTAAGGGCCAGGCATACTTCACGCGATTTCAGTCGCAACGCGATTTGGCAATTCGCCAGAAGTCTTCAGGTCCAACACTAGCAAAGCACATGCATAATGTGTATAACTTACGTAGATTGATAAAATGGCCTACCTTCCGTACATCTAAAATGTGCCTGCAGTAGTTATGGACAGTTGGAATTTTGCCAAATCGCGTGAAGTATGCCCGGCTCTTTACTTCGCAAACAAATAGCAAACGACTGGCGGGTCGAGAAAATTTAATTCGAAAAATTGTAATGGATCAGCTCGGACTTCTAGCACAACTCTTTCTATCATTGTGCACATTTTCAGAAATTGCCTTCTTTTTCGAAGAAAAACCTTCAAAGACTTCGGAAATGAATCTTTTTTGAGAAAAAAAACTGCATCTTTTATTTTTCGAAACTTGTCAGTGGGAATGATATCAAATCTACGAGCAGAGGCATACATAAGAAGCTAGAGAAAACAATGCTCCAAAACGGGAACTAAAACATCTACAAAAATCCATTCAGAAAAATTTAACAACGAAATAAGTTGAATATTTATACAGGTTATTTGTTTTAAGAGAAAAGAAACACAATGACAATTTTGGTAGAGCAATGTCGATTGAATATCTACAGTTTTCGATTCTGATTTTAGGTGCAAAAAATAAATGAATAAATAATTGATTAATTAGATAAATAAACAGTTAATAAATTTCTGTTTTTTGGATCTCACAACCAGGGCTCGACACGAGGTAGCTTTCTGAAAATGCAAAAAACAATGCCCCCCCCTCCCCCTGCCGTTCGCAAAATTTTACGGTGTCCCCCTTGAGCCCAAACCCTAGACGTAAAAACCCTTGAAAAAAAGGAAACCTCGACAAAAAACGTGACCTATGTTGTGCTCCCCCCCCCCTCCCAAGCCATCTGTGCCGAGCCCCGTCCACAATTACAAGGTGCGAGGGGATTTTTGCTAAAATGTCAGTAAGAAGTTTTTTCAAGATATTAAAAAGTGAAAGAATCATAGTTGCCCCTGATAACATGGATATCAGCGTACTACCAGTTTATCAACCAAAAACCCGTCATCCAGTGGCGTACTTTCAAAAATTTCGCAACCCATTCTCGGGGCGCCCCCCCCCCGAGAATGGGTTGCGAAATTTTTGAAAGTTACTTATAAGGGTTAATGAAAATGTGCAAATGACTTGTTTATACTTGCAAATAATTAAAATAATTTTTAAAAATTTTTAAAAATTCAAGTTAGTCTTGTAAAAAAAATTTTTCGGGGCTGGCTGAAGCCACGCCTCCTTTTTCCAGATTTTAAGGTTTGGGAACCCGCAAAAATTTTGAGAAGCACCCCTAAAATTTTTTCCGAGTGCGTGGCTAACACCACGCACCTTCATTCGAAAAATTTTTTTGTCGCCCCCCCCCCCCCCGAGCGGAAATCCTGGTACGCCACTACCGTCAGGATATGGAGTGACCCAATTCTCTATTCGTCTATGTACATAAACGTAGCTTACGACCTGAATAACCAGCCATAAAATTCTGAACATCAAAAACCAACGATTGATCAAAGAAACGATCATAAAACATACTAAAAGACGTTTTATCAACTGCAAACAGCTTATCTGCGCCGAAGAAATTCCCTAAGATTGAGCCGTGCTTACCCAGCTCCCCCCCCCCCTCCCCTCCCCCCGGTGAAACATAGGCATCAGCGGGTAAACATCAGTTCCCGCGTGTAAACAAGTGAGTGAGCATCTATTGGTCTGTGATGTCCACGCCCGTTCAATGGAACAGCTTTTCCCCAATAAATAGCTCAAATCCAGACCGATCCACGCAGCTCTCTGCTAAAATGTCCTATTCCAATCAGGTAAGTAGCTGGGTTTGTCTCCTTGGTATATTAACCCATACCGTAATCCTTACCCATATTGTAATCGTTGCAGTGCCCATCAAAGCTACCAAGTGGTCCTCAGGAGTTACCGTACCAAGAGTATCAACCGGAACCAACTCATAATGAATTTCGACCAGAACAAACCCCACCAATGACGCATCAAGCACCTATAGTGCAACCAGTAAGTTTAAAATTTATTACCCCCCCCCCCCTTAAATGATGTCGTTGTACACTGAACTGCCTTTTTTAGGTGATAGTAAAAGAAGTCCATCATTTCGAAGAGCCACATCATGAAGAACACGAAAAACACGGAATTCTGCACAAAATTACACACCCATTCAGCAGTGACAAGTAAAGTATGGGAATTCATGGCTACGATGCGCCAATGCACGCTACACTAATTCCGAATTGTTTGAGACAATCTTCTATGAAGTTGTGTGTAAATTTCTGATGTATGAAGTTGTTCATATGAGTCTAATAAATATGGTAGATATAAATAAATGCTTGGCAAATCAATTTGACGAAACTCCAGCTGAAGGAAATTTGATAATATGATAAATACAAAAAATTCAGCGCAGATAAAAAAGAGTTTGACAAGCCTAAGATATTTGATTTTTCAAGCTTGAAGAAAAGCTCATTTTCAAATCTTTTTAATTGTAATGACAAATTTTTATTCTGCCTAAAAACAATTCTGAAATTGTCTGATGCAGGAAAATGTCCACGGTTGCAAATTGTGACTGAGTTGTTGTGGTATGAATATAGTACAGAATTTTTTTACAGCGGATGTTGTAGTAGATGAATAACAGGTTTCCGTTTTTAAACCTGGCTATATTCCAAGTAAAAGTTTCGAAATTGCCTTTCCACGTAGATAACCCCTTTGTTTTGAAACGCCTTTACAAATCTTATGTGTTACCCCATTTAGAATACTGCTCTATAGTTTGGAATCCTTTTTTGAAAAAGAACATTTCAAAATTAGAAAAAGTCCAGCAGACTTTCACTCGTATTTTGTTTCTAAGATGCCGCAAAAGCATAAGTTACACCGAAATGCCAAGATACGAAAGTCGTTTGAAACATTTGGCTATGAAAACCTTGGAACACAGACGTATGTATCACGATCTCATTTTTGCATTTCGACTCCTGCGTAAAGAACTTAGGCTGGATGCAAGTAAGTACTGGATATTCAGACCTACTGCTAGAGCGGGTATGTTCAACATCCATTACCCTCGCATCAACAGAAAACGTTTCTTGCGTGTTTTTAACAGTTTCTTTTATAGAACGTCCAGGTGGCTTGACCGATTACCTCCTCAAGTGCTCTCTGCGCAAAGCGTATCTTCTTTCAAGCGTAGGCTTAGGAGTGTCGATCTCATGCAAGTGAATGAATCTTGTTGAATACGGAGGCTTCTTGTGCTGTTTCTTCTTTTTTGCAGGATACTTCTTCGTACCTTCACTGTTTTGCGCTTCTCTGCAGTCGCGCCAAGTGTTCTTGATATGATCATATGAGGCTTGATTTTACTAAATCATTTTTTGCTTTTTGCCATGTTGCTAACAAGCTTGAAGATGTTATTATGCTGAGTAGATCAACCAGCCCCATTCACCAGAACCTCGAGTTTGCATCTTATCCTTTCACCGTAGCCCCCACCCCTAGCCCTACCTACATATTCCTACCGCTCCCATTTCGAATCTTGCTCTTTTCTACAAATATTTTGCGGGTTCAAGTCAGCTAGCTTTGACCGGGGGGCTCGCTGACGCCCAAAAAGCGGGGTCTTAATAGAAGGAGCAAGATTCTGCAGAATTGGGTAAAGCGTTCTTTCCTTCCGCTTGCTGATCTATATAATCATATGTCTACGTCATTATGGTAAGGGCTTCAGTACTTGTGTTTCATCTGCAAAACTCACCTTGTTCTGTGACTGAGGAATGGCTGGTCTTTTGATTTTCTTTCGTGTTCATATTTTTGTTGTGCGATTTCGGTCTTTTAATGGTACACCATGAGTGTATATATAAATAAATAAATAAAATAAAAGAAAACTCTAGAAGGGAAAAGGAAGAAAAACCCTAGTCCTTCGCGAATTATGCGAGTATGCAATTTAGCCGATTGACGGACATCGTGTTACTGTTGCACTGACGACAACATTTGGGCGTGAACGAATGTTATGCTGGTAAATTCCGGCGTTTGCTTGCGACTTGCGCCTAGAAAATAGCCACAGAGCGCAAGCTGTTGATGTTTACGTGCAAATACTGTCGGTACCACAAGTGCTCTACATTGCTGTCAACTTTACTAGAGGTTAGAGCATCCGCAATCAAACATGCTCCTTTATAAATTCCAATACTTCTTCGAAGCCCTTCGTTTCCTTTCTCGTATGATTGTCGGAGGCCTGAATTTGTTGTGCTTCCGGTTAGCTTATGCTTTAGCATCTCTTGTACATATCAAAAAATCTGGGACAATTTCAGCTGTTCTATTCAAAAAATTTAATATCTTTTAAACATTTATTTTGTATGTAGTGTATACAGTGATGGCATGATGGGATGCCAAATTTTCAAATAATTTTGTAAAAAACAAAACGTTGAAAAAGCATTCAGCTTTTTCATTTTATATGGCTCATTAACCCTAGAGATTATCAAACGAACAAAAATGAAACAGGTTTTTCAGCGAGCTTCTTTGAATTTTTATTAGGTTAGAACATAAATGCAGCTTTGACACATTTTTCTGGGAGTGCTGGTTATAAAAAAAACCCTTTTACACAGACAACATCACCTCAAAGACTTTTATTCTGGGGTTCACCATAATTATTGCGACAAGACTTACTGCAGTTAGCGTACATTCTATCGCGCACATAGCGCGCCAGTTCTATCGATTTTTTAATCTCATCATTTTTTCTAACTCCTGTCAAAATTTGGTTAAATTTGGTCCATTTATAGTGAAATGGTGAAGCCTTCTTCTGATCGTTCCGCTATCGTTCGTCTGCACAAAGCCGGCCGGCCTAGCCGGCCCCGGCGTCAAAATCGACAAGGATTACTACCTGAAGACAATTCTGGAAGATACTCTCCTCCCATGGGCGAATTCCCACTTCAACGGCCGCCCATGGACATTCCAGCAAGATTCGGCACCGGTCCACAAGGCCAAGGTCGTCCAAGCGTGGTGCAAGCGCGAACTCCCCGACTTTCCCGGCAGAAGAATGGCCGGCATCGTCACCGGATTTGAACCTACCATGAAAGCAAGGCCTGCGCCACTCCCCACCCCAATTTGGATTCTCTGAAGGCAGCGCTCATCGAGAATGGGACGAAGTCGACGGCGTACTCCTGCGTACGGCCATCGACGCCTTTCCCAAGCGACTCCGCGCTGTCGTCCGTGCCAAAGGTGCCCGAATCGAGAAGTAACTTATGATTGTTAATGTACCAGTTGTTACTTAATAAATGTTATGTTCATGACTCGTTTGCACTTTTGCTTTCTGAGATATAAGGTGAAAACCTTGTCGCTATATTTATGGCCAATCCTTTTCTTCTGTGTAATTTGTTTTTTTCCCAAAATAAAGTGCCTTGCCAAACAAGAGATTCAATTCCGAAATTTCCGAGTTTTTTTTCCTTTGGTGATCTGGAGACTGCAAAATCTAGGTGAGTAGCTTGGTCCGCGAATTAAGAAATATTCAGTTGATTATTGAACTTTTTAGAAGTGCTTAAGGTCAGAAACTCTCTAAAGGTTTTGTGTATACCGCGAAAGATAGCACTTTCTTAGCTTTTTTGCTATATATACATTTTCAAAATAATTTTACAGTAATGTCGTTGCTCTTTTCCTTACGATAAAGGGATTTTCTGGCTAATTTTGCTAGAGACTGCTTACTTCTTAGCAAAGAAGGCAAAAAGCATCACCTTCAAATACAATTTCCACTAATTTTCGGCTCTCACTGATCATAACTGTACTTCCATTACTAAGACTGGGCTTTAACGACATAGAGCGATGTCTTATGAAATATATGAAAATCAATTTTGTATTTTACAAACTGACTTCTTTACACATTGAAAAGGAGCATCTTTTACCAGTAACTTCGAGATATTCGCTATTTTTTACCAAATAAAAGCAGCAAAATTTAAAAATTTAGCCTAGCACATACTTATTATATAAATGTTATTCGGTGATTCTTCCCTTCTCACCTATTTCTCAAACTGGCATCAGTTCAAAAAATTTCACCACAGAGCAAACATGTCTGGCAGTAATTTGCGAGGAAAACACAAGCTCCGCCCCATTGCCCGCCCCTTTTTGGTCAGCGCTCTATTTGAGATGTTCTTCACAAACATCGGTGCTGCGTAAGTACATAATCCTTATCACACCGTACAAAATATTGGTTGTTACCGTGACTATGATGCCTTGATAAAATATTTACGACCCTTAGTCAACAATACCAAGTCAAAAAATCCGATGACGTCATATTTGGTAGGGAGCCCGTTGGTCTAATAATAAAAGGCTTCTTAGATGATGCGCAGCGCAAAGGCCAAGACGTAAACAACCGGTTTCTTGCGCACGTGAAGTAAACAGCAATCTTGGTCATCTACTGATGTATGGTGACCACGCCCACTAAAAAAACATTTTCTTTCCAAATAAATAGCCAGCCCAAGGCTTCTACTTCCTCGCTACCAATATGTCTTATCACGATCAGGTAGGTAGCCTTCCCTCCCTCTCTCCGTCTCTTTTACCCCAACTGGGAACCGGTAAACTAAACAATTTGCTTGTTTACAGCAACCAAAAGCACCTCCTAGCAGTCCCTATGAACTACAGTATCCACAATATCCACAGTATCCAGGATTACCTACACCAATGATGCAACAAGGAGGATTACATCCGGTAAGTCTAGCTAGATACTGTAATTTTTACCCCCCCCCCCCCAACCCCTTCTCTTTATCAATTTTTTAATACCCCCTTTTTTAGGTGATGGTACCAGAAATTCATCGAGAATGTCATCATGATGATCATGATCATCACCACGGAATTTTGCACAAAATTACGCATCCATTCACACATCATGAACATCATCACGAACATCATGACGGGCATTGTGGACATTAAAGCCAGCGTATTGAGTGCAAGCACGCCTATTTCATGCAAACCACGCCCACACCATGCAAGCCACGCCCATTGCATATCTCTCCAATGCTCAAATTTACTAGCTTTGTGATTGATTTGCTCATGTAAATAACAATCTGTACATAGTTTTTCATTTGCAATAATTGGTAACGAATTATAAAATTCTGAAAGTGGAGGTGTTTAAAGCATGTGTATGAGTTTTTTTTACACTGGACGAGTTTTCTTGCCATCCAAACACAACGATAACTTGGTAAATTTCTGATAGAACATGACTATAAAAGTACTTAGCGAGAAATGTGAGATCTTTTCCTTTTTTTTACCCTGCACTTCACTCTGTCACATATGTTTGCCCTTATCAATATATATCAATCAATAATTGAGGTGAAAAATCACGATCACCCGCCACAGATAGTGATAACAGCATCGCACATTGCAAAAGGCAAACATTGCGCGATTCTATTTGCCACCACTGGTATCGGTGAATTGAATGGCGCTCGACTTACGTAAACAATGCTTATCTAAAGTCAAAAGTCAAGCATCAACGGCATAAGAGGAGGGGGGGGGGGATCGAATGGCTTGAAAGGGTGGTATCAATGTCTTGGTATGTGGTTAGGAATATATATAGAAAGGGGTTCAAAAAAAAACAAGGAAGGGAAAAAAAGTGCGATATCAGAGGTTTTGGTCAAGTAATTATAGTTATATGATGTGGACGAGAAATTTGTGACTTGACTTGTGAGTTTGCAGACTGCGCGCGGCAAACTACGGCACTTTACTAGTAATTCATCATAAACCCTTTTCCTGTGAAACAACCTGCTGTAATGTGTGCTACTTTTTGATATTTATCTAATCAAGCCAAGACAGAATCAAACAAAGAGAAACCCCTAGAAATCATTAGCTTTTGATATCATATAAGTCGTGAAGTAATGCGCATGCTGTGCGATATGCACATCAAGTTATTAGACTCGATTGTGACTTGTAGATTGCAGTGGTGATTTCATCCAGTGTAGGATTCAGGATTTTTGAAAAAAAAACAGGGGGACTTGGCGCTATAATAATATTTAGAAATGAACACAGTTTCAGTTTTTTCTGCTACTTTTCCCGAAAATTTCACAAGTTTGTAGTGCGCAAATTTTTGAGAAAAGGCTATCACCCCACCAAACATTTTTCACGGGGCCGATTCACTTATTTTGAATAACCAAAAAATATTTAGGGTAACAAGTTATGCAGAATTTCGTAGCTCATATAAACCACTTTCAAGAGTTTCGCAACTCATTTTCAACTGTGGTTGGGGGAGGGGGGGGGGGGGAGAGGGGGGAGAGGGGAGGGGGGGGGGGGAAAGTTTAAGGATCTTCGCGCCATAAAGTATCGCTTCTTTTCGAATGCTCTGATGTTTTTATAAAATTTTTGCTCGAATTTAAGTGCATTGAGTACCACTCTTTCAAAGGATGTGCAAATGGTCATGGATTTCGCGCAAATGTGTCCTGTGTGCAACCACACATAATGCCTTTCGCACCACGCATAAGTTAGTGCTGATGTGCAATTGCATGAACACTTTATCAACAAGATATAAAAACAATTTGATTATTTCCATTTTTCTACGATAGATATTTTTTGAGCTATAATCAAATTACTATCTTATTGAAGGAAATGTTGTGGTTTGAAAAAATTAATACGAATCAATAAGTAACATGCTAATGCCAAGCACAACGTAATAAAAAAATCAATAATCGCACCTGGTCATAGACGTTCAGTTGAATGCAATCGATTATCGATTTGGGATCGGTCGTGTCTTTGACAGGCAATGTTGCACCATGTTGCCAATTTGGATGCTTGCCACTCACGGGTGCAGTTGTTTTGATGGTCCCCTGGAGATGTTACTGTAGATCAGGTTCTGATCAGCAATGATCTCAAAATTGAAATTTGTAAAAAGAATAATGTTGTTAAAATCATGTAAAAAAACTGTGAAAAAACATGTTCATGAAACTTTGAAGAATGATTTTGTAAAGTTGCAGAACATTTCGCAGATTATGTATTTGATTATTCAGTCATGCCTGATCTAAGTTCTTGCTTTGAAAGAGGATATTAATTTATTTTTCAATAGAGCAAAAGTAAAGAAGGAGACATAAAAGGAAAAGTTAAATAAAAAGCTCTTTTGAAGAATACGTACGATTAATAAACTTCGAACTGCTTATTTGTTTATTGATCTTTTTGTTTATTTGTAAATAGCAAACTAAAATAGAAAGATGAAATAATGGGAATTTTTTTATATATTATCACTGAGCGCAGAGCTTTTAAGAATGCAGAAGGGAGCGGAGAGAGGTTAGCGAGAATAATTTTTCGAAATATTAGATTGGCTAATAAACAAGTTCGGTTTGATATGCTACTTTGAAATTCCATAACAATTCGAATACCAGCTATTTAGCTGAAATTTTTTTGCGAGTAGGTATCCTCAGGCTTCTGCTCTTAAATATCAAGTAGTCAAAATTTTCTGTCACCTAAAAGTGATAGTTATGCCTAAATAGTCGATCTCTAAAAAATCGCATTTTTAAGTTTCTAAGTTTCGTTCGCAGCTTATAGTGAGTGCACAGACGACATATTTGGTGGTTGAAATATATAACCTTTGTCTAAAGGCGAGCTATAATGGAGATTGTGATCTGCTGTTTGTGAATTTTTGCAGCTAAAAATGTGAAAATTTCCAGGTATTTGCGCGTGGAAGTCCATTTTTGGGCAATCAAGAATGCTTGAATTTGACCATCCATGGTCGTGCAAATTGTTGGAAATTTCAAAATTTGTTGTGTGAATGCCAGTTCTGCATTTCACACCCAACTCCAGCTTGTTTTTTGAAGCATAATTTTTCGGAGATTTGATGAAAAAATTTGACTATTTCACTTCCCTGCACGATTTCTCTGCCAAAATGAAAATTGACGATAATAAAGTTAACCATCCAATTCTCCTTGATCTTTCCAGTGGTATCATATCTTCTTAGATGAATTTGTAAATTTTCTATAAATCATTAAAAAAGACAGAATTTAAGTTTTGGCTAATCTGATAAATTGGCGCGTAGCCATGTTCTGCAAATAAATTTTGATGGTTTTATAACTTTTTTGCAGCTTATAACCTTACCAATTCTCTATAATAAATTATGAGTTTCAAAATTCACGGAACTATTTCAGAGGTTTGCAAATAGAAAGCTTGAAAGAATTGAATATTCTCAAAGCTTAGACAGTCATCACTTCGAGAAATTCGCGAATTCATTCCTGGAAAAGAGCTGAGAGAATGAAAGAAACCAGCATAAATCGTACTCGCACATTTTTCTAATAGTTAGGTTTCATGATAGCGTTTTTGCCATTTTTTTCACTACCCAAACATATTCTCTTGTGAGTTCCTGCAATGCATGGAATTTGGCAGAAAAAATGAAAACTCGAGGTGTGTGATTGTGAGGAAGTGGTTCTAAAAAGGCACTTGAAGCAAACGAAGAGCTAAGGAATGTTCTTGAGGGTAGCCTGATGAAATTGAGTAATTTATAAAATATGGCATGTAAGATAAATTGGCAAAATTAGATTGTCTCATAATTAATGCACATTTTTCTAACCTCTTTTTGAGAGAGCTGATTTTCAGAAAAAAAAAACATTTTTCTTCATAACCCTATATAGTGTCGGGAAGCCCGATTCTTCTAGTTTCTAACATATGCTTTCGTTTTCGCAAATCTTTGTTGAAGCCGAAGTTCCATGCCTTCAAAAACAAGTGATTAAAATTTGAAATTTTTTCCCTTCACTCTCCTTGATCTAAATCCAAAAAAAAGCAGACGGATTTTCTTTAAAAAATATGCGCAACGATCGCGAAGCTCTGTGCTATAAAAGGCTTGTCTGTATGAGATTTTTGAAAAATTCCGAGCTGCGAAATCTTGTCTCAAACTTTGCTGGTCGCTGAGGCCCATCTAAGCTGCATAAAAATCTCAAGCAAAAAGCGATTGTATAAATTCCGCTATGTGCACGTAGAGTAGACCTAGTACAACTGATGCTAGAAAAAACGCAGCATTTCATCGTCTTTTCGAAGAGAAAAATTCAAAAAATCCCAAAAATGCAGTTTTTTGGATCTTCCAAAATACTGAAAAAATGGGTAATTCCAGTTTTTTTGCAAAATTTTCTCATAGAAATAAGCCGTAAAATTCAAACTTAGCTCCATTGCACAGCCGACCATCGGCTATATGATGAGCAAAGCCCGCGCGATCCCAGTACATTTGAGCGAAAGTCATGCTCACTCAAAGTATAGGTTTCGAAAAAACGTCCGAGAATTTTTTAGACTATAAAATCGTTCTTAAAGTGGCTGCGATGCAACAAAAGCATGCGTTCTATAGTCGAAGGTTTGTCGTTTGCAGTAATTTTTATTGCGCTCAAAAAGATGGTTTGGGAAAAGAGTTATCTTGATTAGAAGTTGAAATTCATAAAACGTGCATTAATTATGAGATAACCTAATATAAAGATACTGTAGGCATTGTAAAAAGTGGGTACTGCATTTTTTCTATGAATTTTTAAGGCATGATATTGAGCTAGAACACAAAAAAATTTTGTCCCTTTTAAGTGGGATGCAAAGAAATTATTTACAGGATAACTGTGGTGCAAATTTTCTTTGAAAAATACTTTCGCGCCCATTTTTTCTTTCTTTCATGCTCTCAGAAAAAAGTGCTGACTCATTGTGACGCAGCAATTTGCATCAACTTTCGCATTACAAGTACCTAGTACTTATACGTACTTCAGTTCCCATGAATTATAAAGGCAAAAAACTAATTCGAGGACACTCTTTATGTATAAATAGAGGGTCGAGAGTAAGGTTAACACTATTCATACATTTAAGAACTAGTAATGAATTCGTCTTACCTCATCATTGTCTGCCTGCTGGCCGTGACTCACTGGTAAGTCTGGATTTTCAGTTATTAGAAACATATTAATATATCGATAACATTAAGGAAAGTTTAGGCAGTAAAACACTTCAAAATTACAGAGTTTTATCAAATTAGTAAACCAGTGATGTAAACGTGCTATCTGGAAGAGCCTTCGCTTTGGGACCCGCCGCAGTCTTTGGAAGATTTTTGATTTGAGCTAACGAGTCTTTATACATTAGATAGAGAAAAATAGGCCTGAACCTCATAATCATTGAAAAAATTCTTATTTGCAGCACAGATGCATTCCTGCCACTTGGCTACTATGGAGGTAAGTAACTTTCCCCAAATCGATCCAAGAATAACCCTGATAGGTTGATTCAGGTTACCCAGGGTTTGGTTTTGGAACTTTGGTACAGCCATACGTAAGCGTTCATTCTTATCCGGCTGCTTACACTTTCCATGAGCAACCCTACTTGGTAAGGTTCAATATTTCTTCAATTTGTCAAATTCATTGACTCCGCCTCGGCCACGCCCCTTTTTGGCTGGTATTTTGCCATGCCAGGGGGCAAATTAGGGCAAATTTTTTAAAAGAAAGTAAGGAAGTGATAATGGCAAGGAATATTTGTATTTTTTGGTAAGAAATTCTCAAGCTATTCCGGCCAATATATTTCAGCCTAAGAGGAGAGGTGGGGGGGGGGGGGGGGCAAAATGCCACGCCCTTCCTTATTGATAGCGTAGGAGTAGCTGGCATTGAGTACCTCCATTTTTTTGAAGGTTTTTATGCCATCTCCCCCCCCCCCTCCTCTCCGCAGTCAATATGTCAAGAGCAGTCAACGCGTTGGGGATAGAGAGATAGAAGTCATGAAGGGGCGTGCTCGGAGGCGGAGTCAAAATCAAAATATCCGAGCCGTGGTGCAGTAGCACCCTAATTAAGAGAATCTTTCAGTACGGTCCTCGCACGTCTCTACGTAATATTGCTCAGCATTTCCATAGAGGTAATTCATCGAAATTTTATCAAAAACGAATTTTGAGGTTGATTTTTCTAGAGGATAGCCATCTCGTCGACACAAGCCTGATTTCTCCGTTTTATCAGTTCTACTAAATTCAACAAATTCAACAAGAAATTGAAGCTTCACGTCTCCAGATTTCCTTGTGAAATGCAGGCAGCAGAAGATACCGTACTTCATCGCGATTACTATGACAAGTACTCCTTTTTCAGTAAAAGAAGTGAATAAATGTTAGGAAAACAAAAAATGAGTTTTACAGAAAAAAATAAAAAAGGAAATATTGCATCCAATGAAAAACAAGGTCCAGTGTATACTGAACAGCTAGCTTTGCGGCTGGAAGGCGGGACTTCGTGACCTAATTGAGGCTAGGTAGAGATCAAAGAGCACGCGCGCGCGAGAGACGCAGACTGCATCGCGGGCGCGAGCGACCTTAATTAGGTCACAAAGCCCCGCCTTCCAGCCGCCAAGCCGTTAATTCATGTGTTATAACTCACCTGAAAACGTATTTCAACCATAGAATGCAAGATCCCATCAGTCCTTGTTGGCAAATTTGTTGCTGCTTGGATGTTAATCACCAATTTGAACGAAGAAGGTGAGAAATTCTATTGATTTATTGGTTGGTTTGGAATTCAGTGGTGTGGGAGCTAATACCTGTTGTCTATCTGGCATCTTTCTCATAGGTTTCAGCTTTCGAGAAAGATCAGCTGGTCCAAACAAAGAGCCAATAGCCCCAAAAAGTCCTGGTAAGGGCTCTTCGCGTACGATCTCCGAATATGACATGGTAGAGACATCTTGTTCTCTTTCAAGGAGGCGGGTTCTGAATTTTCGTTGTGGGACCATAGAGGCGTGTCGGAATTTACTCTACCTCAATTTAACCGCATGGGCCAGTCCCAAAGCTCGCATTCCATCAATGGCTGTACGAAATGATGGCCGATGGCGTCGTTCATCCAAATGGGCACTGGTGCTAGTATCAATGTCGGAAGCATCTATGGGAATCCTAAAAATGGCGAAAATAACGAAAAAATTGTTGCTCGTCTATGATTGGTCGGTGGACAAAAGCTCCGCCCCCGAATCGCATTTAGCCTATGATTCAAATAAATTGGCGGCTGGAAGGCGGGGTTTCGTGACCTAATTAAGGCTAGGTAATGATCAGAGAGCACGCGCGCAGGAGAGGCGCAGACTGCGTCGCGGGAGCGAGAGCGCGCTTAACTAGGTCAGCACCGCCTTTCAGCCGCCAAGCAGGTTGAATTAAAGGTTACCTCTCGTTTCCGTTGCGCTTACGTGCGCGCCGCTCCAGCGCATCCCATCTAGGGTTCGAGTCAAATTCTTCATCGGAGACTAAGCGCACACCAGGCGGTATGATGGAAAATGGTGTGTCTTCATTTGGCTAAAAAGCGCTTCAAAGTCTTTTTTGCTACTTTGGAAAAAATCGATATATTGATTACCTGGGCAGGAGCTGCACTTTCTCTACGTCTGGCCCTTGCCTCACTAGACCATTTGGCGTGAGCCAAAATGAAACCACTAATTGAGCTAAAATCCAAAAAAATGAAAATATAGTTATGTTCAGCTCCTCCCCCCCCCCCTCCCCAAAGAAATATTTTTCTAAACCAACCCCTCAGTGCTTGTAAATGGTATGTGGTGTGGTTGCAGACTATCTTCTTCAGAATCAGATGGCAGTGGAATGTTGACCTATAAGAAGAGACGCAAGATAATTGATAAAATCAATAGGGCCCGTGTAAAAAATTAGGAAAAAATACAAGACCTTTGCTATTGTCTTCTTTGTCGTACCGCTTTTTTCTACAATTGTAGCAGTAATTGTTTTCGGCTCAGAAACGATCTACAAAAAATCGATAATTGATTAGTTCGGAAGTGTACGGTAGCATACCTCTAAATTGAACAGCTGATCAAATCGATATTGAAAATCATTGAGAGGCAGCGATTCCGATTTGCAAACGAACATGTCGTTGAAATGCAATATAACATGGACAGATGTTTTCTTCAATAGATCTAAATCGATAATCGATTGTTGACGAGAGGTGTAATTTTGAAAAAAAATTACCCAGTCGTGATCGTTCAGCTTGTGGAAGGGTTCCGATCGGCGTGACGGGACCGTCCATAGTGAGCTTTCCAAGCAGAGAACTGTAAAATGGTAAAATTTTTTCGCTAAAGTATCCTCTCCTTCTGCGATTGCTTAATGGGTTAGATCGCGGAAAAAATCAGTATTTTAATCACTCACAATTTCTTAAAATTTTTTTGAGATATACTCCAGTTCTGTAAAACGTTACTCAACTTGTCATACACCACTTTCTCTTACTGAACCATGATCAGTCACGGTATACGGTAGTTAGTTGTACGGTAACTTTACGGTAAGTGGTCTAATCATTTGGTTTGTCTTTGACTGTGTAATCACTTTTCGCTCACTTTTCGCAGAGCTGAGCAGAATATCTTACAAAAAGCAATTTTTCTATTTTGCTTAAAAATGGAGGCCTACTAACGGAAAAAGGCGGGCGGCTCATGGAAGCGAAGCGGGTGCGAAAGCGACTCTGAAGGCGACAGTACCGCGTCGCGCCCGCTTCGCTTCCTTAAACCGTATGCCTTTGTCTCTTTCCAGACTAGGTTCAATATAGGAGGTTTAGGAAATTCTGGGTTTTTTCCAAATTAAATGATAATGTATTTCTAGGAAAACAAATAGTAGGCCATACCCCAAATATGGATGGGAAAAACTTGCCTAGATTCATCCTCTTCATCGATTGTATACCTTAGGGGTGAAGTACTGTACCCTTGTCGGTTACGGCAATTTTCCAGTTCACCATATTCTCTCCGCAAACCTTCAGCAGCTCGACGTATATCGCGATAGAGTGAGTCGACGTGTTCACGAAGAGCCGATGGATTTGCCCTTAAAAAATGAATAACGCGTGTTTTCATGATGGATCGATATATCGATTGACATATGATTACTCACCCACTGGGTAAATTTTCTATATTGACTAGTGTATCTGTCATTTCATTTATGCGTTTTACTTGTTCTTCGTAAAGTGCATGCAATCGCCCAACAATTTTGTCCTATAAATCGATATATTGATTGATTATATACCATGAATAAGAGCCTAACCTCATCTCCACATAGCGGATGTTGTTCCATAGAAACGGTACCAATAAAAATATCCAACTGCACATAATCGCTACCCCGAATCTCGTCCACGAATGTTTCCCATGGCTCCGCTTTCACGTAATTATAGGGAACATCTTCCCTTTGTATTGTCTGAAGCACAGAAACTGGTTTTAAATGAATAGGGTGCAACATTCTTGCTCCCCCCCCCCCTCCACGATTTTTGTAATGACCATTTGAATTCGGTAAAGAAATTACATAGAGGACATCAGGTCGCCATTAGGCTCCACCCACCCGCGCAGGTAGCACGAGGCAGTAATGGTGAAGGCGCGGCGGTTTGTTGCAAATGTCCGCGTGGGATCCGCTTTCGGCAACCTAATGTCCTCTACCCAAGTAAATTACCTTGAGTGGTTTCGTATATTGCGACTCTTCAATAGTTCGTAACCTGCCATTAGTGAAAAATGCCGGAGAAAGTCGTTGTTCCATTATCGATGACGTCATAGGCCTAGACGAATATTGATTTTATCGATTAGAAACCGGTCGACCAGTCTGGAGTATTAGACGTAACAACTCTACTCTTTCAGTAGTTGAAAGACTGTAAACATAAGTACAGATAACACTAATAATGATTCAGTAACCGATCAGTATATTGATTTTTTACCTTTCAGCTTCTAAATCACTAGGTCGCGCGTCATAATATGTCAGTAATCCTTGATTTTCATCATTATCAACCATTTCCGCTCTACGATAATCCATTACTGATCCAATCACTCTTGGTGGAGGCTGCAATCAATAAATCGATTTCAACCGAATGGGTTGTGAACATACGTTTTTACCTCTTTTTCGTAATCATCAACAAAGAACGCATACTGTACATCATCTGGAGGGTTCAACGAAGCCTGCTCTTGTAGAAATCGCGCCCCAATCTAAAAACATGGACAGTGGAGAATTAGTGGGAGTTATGTGGGTTAGCATAACAATTTCTCAATAAAATATTATTTACCTTCAATGTCTTTTCAATCTGCTCATCAACAGATTGTAGCTCACCCTCTGTAGGACCCTCCTAAAATATAAAAAAATTAAATTTTTTCCCTAGCTATTGATTACCGTATACCTCTTGATGTATAGTCAATCGTCGCTGAAGTCTCTTGGCTAAATGTACAGAACCACGTTTTCGTTCTACAGTTTGCTCCGCCTAAAGTATACTGTACGTGAGAGCGGAGACATCTAGAGTAATGAAATCCTCTGCGTCTATGGCATACCTGTTTTCGAAGTTTTGATCGCATTGAAGCTTTCAGTTCCGCTGATGTAGAAGTGCGTTTTGAGGATTGAGATAAGGTTGGGCTAGAAAACAAACGATATTGGTACAAAATGAAGTGCGAGTGTAGGCCATTCGCACTTCGTAATATTTTCCACACAGGACCACCTTTGCCCCGAGGAAGCAGAGGGAGCAAAAGATTTACCGCGTGCGTGACGTGTGAGAGAATGAGGATGGCTGATGGAAACTGCGGAAAGGCCGTGTCACGGAGTGAGATTTGCGATGGATCGATAAAATCAATAAATAAGCAGAAGTGCAAGTAGATCGATAAAATCAATAAATGATAAGAAGTGCAAAATGCCACTATTTATAAGATTTGCATATTGAATCTCATATAAAAAACAGATTTGCAAATTTTAGCTTAATACAAGTGGAAGGAGGGTTGCGTATAAATCTTATCTTTTCTTGCTCCTCTTCCTCTTTTTTTTCAACTCCTTTCTCAAAAAATTGTACAATAAGCATCACCTTTTTCTGCCTTCGACAGAAGAAGCTTCATCCATTTCAGCACCAGAGGTTAAATCTTGTGATGGAGTTGCAGGTAGCTAAACTTTTACTTTCCTTTATGTCTCTTTTTGGCCCTCTGCCAATTTCCCATTTATCACAGGGCACTTACCGATAATGGCGCAACTGCTACAGACGAATGATCTTCAACAAGACGATCATGCACATCTTCAAGCACTTTGCCGGCCTATAGAAAAAATTGAGCTTTACTGTGTGAGTCCCCTTTGATTTAACTGGTTTGGCGGCTGGAAGGCGGGACTTCGTGACCTAGTCATGGCTAGATAATGATCAAAGAGCATGCGCGCGGGAGAGACGCAGACTGCGTTGCGGGCGCGAGCGGCCTTAATTAGATCGCAAACCCCCACCCTCCTTCCAGCCGCCAAGCCACTTGAATCAAAGGTTAAGTATAATATCGATTGATTTCACCTTCATCTTGAACTTCAACAATTGATCTTTGATTGTCCCAATGGAGCCGCGTCGACCCCTTTTCTCTGGTTTCTCTTCTCTACTGTCTTCCCTTTGTATTCTGCTGTCTTCTGCTTGCGATTCAATTTGCGGTGATGGGGTCGGCTTAAATATCATCAAAGTAGCCTCTGCAACAAAGGTAAGCTGAAAAAAGAAGTTTTCTTACTTTGGGAAATGTAGCAACCTCTTCCTCGGGAGATGGTCTAATCTCACTTATGGGTCTTGAGAAGAAAGCCCGAAAATGACAACGATGAATGTACATCATGTAAAAGAAAGTGGGCTATTGTACATTTTGAATATCTGCACGGAATAATGATTTATTACAAAAAAAAAACAACAAATTTTCTCTGACATATATGTCGATTTTTTAAGAATAAACTTAACTAAATGAATGGAAATAGAAAAATGTAACTTTTCACTTACCCGAGATGGTCCAGGTTTTTCTTCTGGTGATTTAATTGCTGGAGGCGATTTTATATCCATGGATGGCTCCAGATTTTCTGTCCATGATGCTGAGACGCGACGTTCTAAAATACAATCATATAAATCATATTTTATCTTTTGCAACATACTTACTAGGCACTTGAAGTGGAGGTAGCTGTATCCTCGTTTTTGGAGATGGAACGGATTGCTCTTTAGCGTCACTCATTACCTCAAAGAAAATAAATTTTTTTGCAAGTAAAAGATAATTATTGATTTTTTATCGAATTCAAAAAATGGCCAAACGGTCAAAATAACGATGCAAGAGCAACGAATGCAGCAATGTCATATCTTCCAAAGCGCAACCAGCTGCTGGGTAGCCATGGCAACGCGCTTTGGCAATGAGCCAAGCAACCTTTCGCGGCGGGTAAATTACTCCTGGATAAATCTGGCCTTATTAGAAGGAATAACTCTTGGAATAATTTAAGTACATGTTGACTCAAAGGTCTGACAAATTAGGCTGTCGGACCCATTTTTTCTATTCTGGACCTCTTTGAAGCAGAAGATTCAAAGCAAAGGTTGACTTTGAGTTCTGTGAAAATGTTGAAGATCTGGAAATTTAGAAATACTCTCAGATTTCATTGGCTTATCCGTAACTCCTGCACCAATCCTAATCCTCCCACTTTTGCCTAATTCTTTGTCTTATACATTTTGGAATGTGGAAAAATGCCTTCTGATTAATGTTTGAAAGAAAATCTTTGATCATTACACAGCCTTAATTAAGTCACGACTTTCCAGCCGCCAAGTCAATTTAATCAAAGGGTATACTGATTAATTTTCGGTAAATGTGCTGCTTGCAGCTCACTGTCCTTGTACACTAAACTAGTATTAGTTTTCAACGAAATTCTAGCCACAACTTAGAGTTTGCACATGTTCGAGCCTCGAAACTCAACTTCTACTGTGCGCTAAGAAATGTTGAGACAACTGCTTTGCTTGTACGATGTGTATAATTTTGTACTTGTGCTGATTTTGAACCTTTTGATGCGTCGCTAAAAAAGGAAAATTAGAAAATTTACGTCTGAAATAAAGTAATAGCATGCATGCGATAACAGACACAGTCAGGCGTAGCCTGATAACATACCCTCGATACATAGAGCCACGTACTCTGGTAACCTTCACTTTGAGGGTTATGGGGGGACACAACCTTCACCTGGAAAAAGACAGAAGTCATCCGGGACTTCGCCCTGGATGTTATTATCCTGACTATATCGGAACAAATGTTAATGAAGCAAATATAGGGAATAATATCTTTAGCTTAACTTAGCGAAACCGAGAATTTGGGTTTTCACAGCCTTTTTTAGCTTAAAAAGAAGGTTTCTGTGGAATCTTTGCCAGAATTAGGAAAGCTGTTGGATTTGAATAAATACGAGAAACTGCGCTTAAATCTTGCGCAGAGAGTCGTGCACGAAAACGCTGGTATATCTCGTTAGTGAGTGATTTTCAAAGCTTGGGACGTTGTCAGTTCTCCTCGTCGTGTCATGACGATCAGAATCATATATAATGTTGCAGGGTTTAAGACCCCGCGGAGATCTACTACCAGAGCCGAATGCCCCGTCGGCTCTGGTCTGTCTCCGCTGCTTGTCTGCGTCTCCGCGCGCTGCGCGCTACCTCGCTACCCCAAACGCGGGGCGCGGAGCATTTGGCTCTGGTACCCTTTTCTTCGCTGTTTCGAACCCAATCTTAGCATGCTATATATCGTTTTAAAGCTCTTGATCTCTATTTTCACGCTGACAACGTCCCAGAACCACATTTTTTGATTTGATCGAGAAATCCGGCAAAAACCTTGTTTTCGAAAATCTCTTGTTTTTCTCCTAGTTTTTCATGCTGTTTTTTCGTGCATTCTATAGATCTTGCTTCTGTGCATAATGCAGACAACCACCCAGCCTTTATCTCTTCGATTATTGTGGAATTTTTTGCGAAAAATCGTAGAAAGTGCGCCTCTTTTTACCTTGTACTGTTTCAGTGCTTTCGCATCGATTTTTTTCCAGCTTGAGCGATTATTGCTCAGAACAATAAGCGCAACAATCCAGACAACGTCCCAGGAGACGGGAACGTCAATGCGGGGTAAAAATTCAAAGGACGCATCAAAAATCAAAACCCCATGTTGCGAATTGCTGGTCCTGGAGCGAAAACTTGCACTTTGGAAAGCCGCCAAATGAAGGATTTCAGACCTCTTTGCAGTGTTTTTATTCGGTTTTCAGCAGTTTCTTTTGCTTTTTATATCTGTTTTACGTCATGTTCTCTTCTCTGATCTTTTTTAAACAACCTTCACTATTTATGACATTAGATGTTCAGACAACCTTCACTTTTGACGCCCTGTCTCTAGACTATTGAAGGTATGCCTGATAACGTCCACCCAAATTAGGAGATTTGATTTGGGCGGACGGTGGTTCACGTAAAATGTTGTAAAATGTTCCTTCTGTTCCAGTCTATACAGGTTGTTACGAAAGTAACCTATGACTCTGGCTTGGCGGCTGGAAGGCGGGGGCTTTGTGACCTAGTCAAGCCACCCGCGCCCGCGACGTAGTCTGCGTTTTTCTAGCGCGTCTCTGATCATTACCTAGCTTCAATTAGGTACGAAGCCCCGCCTTCCAGCCGCTAAGCCAGTTGAACCAAAGGGTAAGTACACATTGTTTGATCGTTAACATCTCTTTACCAACAAAGGGGTAGAGGACTATATGTCGCAGAAAAAGGGCGGTGTGGCGGCTCGGTGGGCCCTAAGCACCTAGATCTAACCCGAGTTACCCGCACGCTCGCCCGCTTACTACATACGACGCAACCTAGCCTACTAACTTGCCCTAGCGCGTGAAGAAACAGTATTAAATTACTTATACTTTATCCTTATAACACAAAGGAAAACGACTAGACACTAAAATACTAAACTACTACTACAAAACTACTAACTAAAGGAAGAAAGACCCCAACACGGGACAGGGTGCCCTATCCCGTGCTACCGATGTTGCGCGTCTATATAACATCTAAACATGCTAATGCTCCCGAGGCTTCACCTATACAGATCCGCCACGCGTCGCCGGATACCAGGCGCGACACCTCTCCGCTGCCGAAGTTTACAAGATCTTGAATATCCCAAATCTCAAAGCTCCAAAAGTAGCTCGTCCGAAATAATTCCAAATCAGACTTGAATCTCAATCCAATACAACTTCCGATCGCTCGACCGCTAACGCAAAAGAACATCAAAAGCGGGAGCTAATTGCCAGGCACGAGCACAATGGAAAACATACGAAAAGATTATCGATCGAAAACGAAAGCAAACAGACGCTGCAATGAGGCGCCGGGGTAGAGGAACGAACACCTCAATTAGGCCTCGCCTCCGCGGGCTGCTGGTCCTTTCGTCGTACTGTTATGCATCGTGTTAGGACCAGTAAGCTGAGGAGGCGGTGCCTAATTGAGGTGTTCGTTCCTCCACCCGAGGCGCCGCCGCTATATATAGCCTTTTGGCTGGCAACGCGCCAAGGCGAGGAGAGGTCCAGCGGCGATTGCGGCGAACGTAAGAAAGTGCCGTTATCGTCGCCGGATAGCGCGGCAGCAACCAGTGCTCCCGGCCTCCTACTTCTAGGAGCGCTCGCATCGCGGAGCCGCGACAGGCGGTCCCCGCGGTCATTTGCGACAGATACGCACCCTCGTATATGCGCGGACATGCGTTCCTCCACGGAATCCGCGCGGGACTCTTCCAAATTCGGTGACATATAGTCCTCCACCCCAACAAAGTCCTTTAGGCCTATTATGAGCTGGCTTCAGTTTGATTTAAGTATTAAGTGGTTCACTCGCTCTTCATTGCTGTAGGATTACGGTAATAATGAGGAAGTTTGTGAGCCAGTGAAATGATTAGTTTGTCTTGGAAAGAAAGCCAATAAATTTAAAACTTACAACAGGCTTAGAGTGGCTAACTTTGAATATAAAAGTCTGTTTTCCTTAAGGCTTATTTGATAAGTCACGCAAGGAATGCTGTAAGAAGTGTTTTTCGAAATATCCGGAAGAATTTAATTTCACAATTCCAAAAAGCTCAAAGAATTTCCAATAATGTGTAATCCAGCATGAGCGAGTACACTTCTTAAAGAATTTTCTTTTTTTTGGAAATAGTTTTTAAATGCCTTATTTTACAATGACGTATGCTAGATGCTCCCATAATCCTACAAATGAATAGAAATCGTCGCAGTTGGTTAAAGCAAGACACTTGAGCTGAGATTTAAGATGGCCTTAACGCTTACCAATAAAAGATATAGCTTTGAATGTGTGTAACATACTTTATTCTCTCAGCAAAGCCAGCGATAAAGCCGCCCACGCCCACGTTTATGGCCAGGGATATATTACTTGGTTTAATCGCCTCAATATTCTCCTTGCAGGACAACTGTTACAAGTCAATTACATACCTATCATCTTATGTTTCCCTTGAGATAGTTAGTTATGATTTCGGAAAATTATGAAATGTAAGATGTCTAGCATTCAAAGGACTCGTAACAGTTGTCTTGTTAAGAGAATCGCAACGCAGTTGATTGTTATGATGTATGTCCGGCCCTATTGACGATTTGCATCTTATGTGCAATATCATGACTTACAAATATGCTGATGAGTTTCAATTGCTGCCATGTGATGCTGCACTCATCATCAACAAAGTATTGTTTGAGCCTTAAAGGCAGTGTATCGGCAGAACTTCGTTTTCCAGATTTTCAACTTTTCGGAGCCCTTTCGCCATGGAAGAAACCATATCTTGGCTTCTCAGTGCACGAAAATAGCGAAAATGAGCTTTGTCAGAAGCTTTCCAGGTCAGTATTCAGTGGAGAATACGCGCAAGTGTTTGGGACCTGGAAAAAGGGAGGCGGGCGCGAAGGGCTTCCGCCAGGAAGAGAAAGCTCATTTTCGCCATTTTCATGCGCTAAAAAGCCCAGATATGGACTTCTCAGGGCGAGAAGGAGCCTAGTAGATAGCAGCCAAGGTAGTTTTAGAAAATGCTTGAATTGCTCTTTGCAACAAAGTTTTAGACATACAGAAACATCATGTTATGAGGAAGTTATGATTTTTTGAAAATGGTGGGACAGAACTTTCGGACCAACCTAATATATTAGGTTGTCCCGAAAGTTTTGTCGGTTTCTTTCATCGCTCACTAAAATTCACAGAATACCAATCCTTAGACGGCTTAGGCACCATTTG